GAAAAAAGGAAACTCTTAAGGTTTTTAGATTAAATGTATCTATTTGTGTGTAAGGGATTGTCATTTTGTATATATGTGGTTCTTCTTCAAGCTAGTCTGGGTTTCTCTTCAGTATGTTGCAGATTGTTGCTTTGTGTTAGCGTCTATTTGAGATGTCCACACCAAAGCAAATCATACTAAGTAAAACCTATCTGAAATTTTTGTGAAAAATCTTTCTAGATAAAAATTGAAAAATACTGCTTCTATTGCATGTCTTGGAAAAAAACATGATTATTCTAGATGCAAACACTCTCTCAGCTGCCTTGTAGTAAAAAAAACTTAAGTAATTATGTTAAAAACTCCCAATGCAAGTACATGGCGACATTTGGACAATGGCTTGCTGTGTCAGTACCATATTAACAACAAGAAGAACCATATCATGTAGGTGAAGCAGGCCACCAAGGGCTTGGAGAGAAAGGCACCCATTGCCCCAAGGAACACAGTACTGAGCATTCTTTTCTGAGTCTTCATGAATGGTACCATGCAGCTGGCTACCAAGAGCACAGAGATGAGAGAAATGATGGGAAGGCCAAATAAATGTTGATGAATTAGCTTGGAACACTCAGGGCAGTGCCATTAGCCCTTCCAGAGGCACTTTCTGGTGCTTTTCCGTCCGGAGGTGCAGGTCTGACTTGGCTCCATGGTCTCCTGGATGCTTTAACCCATGCTTAAGATCCATGTGAGTTCATCTCCTCCATGCCAGCCCATTTCTGCATAAGGCTCAAGGTTTCATTGTGGTAAAGTTCCATGAGGTCACTTGGAGTTTCTTCTAACCTTCAGGCCTGGATCACCCTCCAGTAAGGGCCACAGTATTAAGGAATATTCCCTCTGCTAATGTTCCTTAGGGTCTCCCAGGATGCTCCTGTCTGGCCCTGGATGCTCAGATCTCTTAGGTCTCATGAGGTAGTGCGTTAGACTCTAATCCATGTGTGATTGGATGTTGACTTTGGAGCTCATTGTTCCTGCAGAGATGCCAGTGACCATAGTGGTGCTGCAGGCTGCCAACACTCTTTATGTGGCACTGGAGCCATCAACCTGGCTGACACATGTGGGGTTTGACAATCAGCCCCACGCTTTCTGTCAACATCCACTGCCTTAAGGATGGGGCTGTTATCTGCTGTGGCAGATGTTTTTCAAGGTGACCAGCAACCCTTTTGAGCCCTCAGACATGCCTCCTGCTGTTGAAGATCTGGAGGAGCTGGGATAGCCATGTTTGTTTGTGTTTAAATTATTTTTTAGTCAACATATAAAGCAATGTGTTCACACCTACATGCCATTGTTCATCACCCACATTCATCTCCCCATTATCCTCCTTCCTAACTCCTCCTCTCTCCTGATGGTCACCTTACTAGTCCCACAGTCCCCTTTTCTCCCCTTATATATGTCTCTATATGGAAGTGGATTCTGCAAATGAGAGAAAACATCTAACACTTATCATTCTTTGGCCCTCTCCATGGTCTCTCACTTCTCTTCCTCCCACTTTTAGACATGGTCCTCACTCAACATGAAGTGGAGTTCCACACAGGTGAGGAAATAAGAAATATTTACATTTCTGGGTCTGACTTATTTTATTCACCGTGATGATTTTTTTCTAGTCCTGTCTGTTTTCCATCCTGCAAATGACATAATTATATTTTTCTACATCTGAATGACATTCCACAATGTATGTCTGAGTATGCATAGACTACATATTTAACATATATGAACCCAATAAATGTTTGGCAACATGTGAGATGAAAGCTGAAATTTCAATGAGTCAGGACAGTGACAAATTCTGTCACTGTCAGATTTGGAAAGCCTGTCCATCAAGGGCACATGGGCACCTGGACACAAGTTTGCCTTGGTAGATCAAGTTTAGGTTCAAGACCTTGGGCACCATTTCCTCTGAGGATCCAGCAGCACAGGAACATTCCAGTGATGGAAAAGCCAGAAGACAGCAGAATGCATGCAGCATTGTTGCAGTAACTGCAGGTCTGCAACAAATGAGCCAAACCCTGCCATAAGAATTAACATTTATTCTACTTACAGGTGTCATGGTGGGGGAGGAGCACGGGAGAGACTGCAGAAGCCTTGCTCCTGATCCATTAGCCTGCAACTGGGGTGTTTTGAGCACCCACAGGCTCTTTTACCTGCCTGAGGTTGATGGTGGAGAAGCACCCATAGCTGGGGATTCTGGGGACCCTGTCTCCTGCCCTCCTCGCTTTCCCTTTTGCCTAGCCTCTTGCCATCCTCCTCACTTTCTCTATTTTCTTACTTCTCACCCCTCCTCTCAACTCTACAGCCTGACCTGTCTCCTCACACCTTGTTTGTGGAGCTTAAATGCAGTCAAACTTGTGTTACCATAATTATCCTAAGAGAGGGCACAAAGAAAAAGTGGTACCTGAAACTTCTCTGTCTACAGCAGCCCTTGGAGTCTCCCACAGAAACCCATCTTCCCAAAGAGCTAGGAGATGCAGCTTGCACCTTCTGAGTCATCAGCCCAGTCTGCCTCTCCTGGATCATTCTCCCTCTCTATGCTCCTTCCCTGTAAGTTATGACAGGCATTCTTGCCTGTCCCTAGTGTCATCTGCTTTGTCTGAGGGCAGAGACAGCTTTACCCTGTGCATCTGGGTAAAGTTGTGAAGGCTGAATTCCCAGGTCTAGGAGCCCAACTTTTCAATTTGGACAGGCTGAATGACAATCAGTGAAAGGGATCAAAGAGCTCTGGGTGAGTCTTCACACTTCCTGGATTGACGCTGACCAATGAAACTCAGGTTCTCCAGAAACGAAATCAGTACTGAGAGTGGAGTAATCAGTCCACCCCACAGAGGTACATATACAAAGAGGAAAGGGTAGAGTGACCACAAGCACTGTAGCTTTGCCTTCTCAATTCAGTTGCTGAGGATATCTGGTGGGAGTCTGCCCAAGGTTGAACTTTCCTGTTTTGTCCAGCAGGTGTCTACAGCACAGCCAGCCAACTCACAGTAAGCTTCAAGCCCCAGCCTGAGTTTCATTGGAGCAGCTCTTAGGTAAGTGAGCCATACTCCATGGCAGCAACCTCCATCTCAACAACTTTAGCTCTCTTTCTCCATGCCACCCAGAATTTACTCTGCTAGATATGGGATTAGGTGGGGGAGGGTTGGGTGGGAGCTCCCAGTACAACTCAAAGCCTAGAGAGGAACCTGGATGCTTTGTCTCCTTTCTGGGAACCTTGGCTCTTGGTACCACCTTAGCCTCCTCACAGCTGCTAATGGCTTGGAAGCTTCAGGAGCATGGGATGAGAGTGAAATCCCTAGGTCTGCTTGGGTTGGATGCTTGCAGATCCCTAACAGAGGGAGCCTGGGTACTGATGGTCAAGGTGGGGCAAGTGAGGCAGGGAGAAGATTATGCATAGGTCAGGATTGTGTAGGTCTCCAATCCCTTTTGAGGGTGCTCTATCTTCTTGGAGACATAACTCTGTGGGAAGTTAGGAGAAATTTGCCACTGAGGCAGGGAGAAACTGCGTAAACAAACTAAAGAGATCTAAGACCCTGAGAGCCCTGGAGGGTTGAATGAAGGCATTACTCTCCCAAGTGAGAGGCAAAGCATCATCCTTGCAGGGAATGATCCAGGGTTATTTGTTTTCCAAGAGACAGCTGCTTTCACTCCTGTACCCCTTATCTCATCTGTGCCTTTCTGTCATCCTTGCACTGATTGCAGAACTAGGGGTATCTGCCTGTGCCACCCATTTCCTGCTAAAGACAACAACTGACAAAACCCTGAGTTCAGGACTTTTCTCCAGTGAACACTCTAAAGAATTTTAAAAGAGACAACTATTGTTTAAACCAATGCAAATCTTGTGGGAGATCAGCGAGTTTCATTCAGGGGTCAGAATTAGTGGGCTCCAGAGTCCAACTTAGTAGTTAAAGACTGTTTTCCAAATAGATGCCCAAGGGAGATAGTTTAAATCATAGAAAATTTTCATAGTCACAGAGGTTGAAGTGAGATAGCTCTCGTCCCAGATTAGCCCACAGATTCTCAATAAGATGATACTTCTACAATTCCCTCAAGTTCCAAATTTGCCGAGGACATGAGCATTCTCCTTCAGGATTTTGGGATGAGTTGTGGTTCCTGTCTCCTTTAGGTATTGGCAAGGTAACCAGGTGTGCTGGCTTCAGACAGGGGCTGATTCAGGGGGTGCTGAATGGGAGGGCCTGGGAGGAAATGAGGAACAGATACTGCTCAGCAATGCATAGAACTGGGTGGGGCTGTAGCTTCTAACTGGGCAGAAATGAAACTGTATTTCCCGTGGCCTTACTACACTTTCAGTTTTGTTTTTGTCTGGTTTCCCCATCTCCTCCCTTCCTATACCCCCACCCTAATGCCTACCCTGCAAGCAGACTGTGGCAGACAGAATCTTGCTAAAATATAGTACAGGTTGTCTTCAAACTCAGCTTTGCAAGTGCTAAGATGACAGGGGTCCCCCCACCCCCCCTGCTACCCTCCAACCCAGCTCCCTGCTTCCTTTTCTGTGAGGGTAAAGGTATCTTCTGGCAGGCCTTCAGGGAAAATGGTCCCAAGTGTGGGGCAGCCCTCCCATGGAGGAAATAGGAGCCAGGCAACATGAACTTGCTATAATAAGGAGAAGAAAGATCAGCACAACAAAAGCAGAGAGATCATCTCTCGATGCTGTCTTGGCACAGCATTGTCACACTGAAACTATTGTGGAGCTTTGAACTTAACACAGGTGGCTGTGTCTGCCTGGCTCCATTGTTGTTCCTCTGCCAGGAGTCAGGACCTCAGCCTCAGCCTCACTTCCTCTAGAATGTCTTGAGGTCAGGTTCAAAAGCTTTCTCCCCTGAGGGCCTCTTTGAATGAAGATCTGTTAAGAAAGCACCTTCAAGTTCCTAGGCAACCCTGAGGGATGCTGGGCATGATGTGGTTTGTTCTAGGTTTGCAGTCACAGTGTGCTCTCCTAAAGGTATTAGATGGAGCCCTGTAGACTTGCCAAAGATAAAACTGGTAAAGAAGCATTTGCTAGTTAATTTCCAAATCCTCAGCTGTCTCATCACTTGAACCAGTAACCCTGACCTCAGACGCCTCTCTCTCCATGCACACAGATGTATGAGCTCAGATGTTGCTTAGCTAGTTTACATACCTGAGGCAGAAGGCCCACTATGGTCTCATGGTTTAGCCTAAGTCTTCATTTCTAGAAATTCTAACTCCTTCATCACATGATTTTACTCATTCAGGGTTCCATTCCAAACTGGAGTCTGGTTCCATTCATTCTGTCTACCTGTTCTGGCTTCCCACCTCATTCCAGCATATTTTTATAGATGCCTGAACTATACTGAGTAAAGGACTGGGACTCCATGAGGAAACTCTTGAGTTTAGTGAAAATCAGATGTGGATAGCATGCCCAAGCCTTAGTCACACTGGACCATGATACTAGTGTAGTTACGGTAACAGGGCACTCCTTTACTAATGCATGGATACTACATGTGGGATTATGCTGCAAGTTAGAGTCGTTTTAAAAACAGTTAACTATAATTATACAAACTGATTGTGAATAATATGCGATCCCATGGAAAAGCAAGATTTCAAATTTTCCCCTTCAGTTTCTGAGAGGATACCAAACCAAGATGAGTTCATGTTCGTAAAATGTTGAATCCATATAATATTTTACTTTATGTATACATTGGGGATTGACATATGAGGGTGCAGTACATATCAGGCAAGTGTCCTTTCACTGAGTTTCCCCCCCAATCGGCAAGTGCCATTTTATGATGCTGTTTTACATGTGACACAATCATACACACATAACAATAGGGGGAAGAACCTATGGATGCAAACTTTAAAACAAATACCAGAAAATTAACTTTAGTGCTAGCGAACAGAATAATAAGATGTTTCTATGGTCACAGTTATACAGCAGAGTGAGGCAGGACGATTGCTTAGGAATTAGAGCCCACACATGGCAGGAAGAAAGGACAGCCCTCCTGAGTTCTCTTTCTTCCACAGAAACATTAAAAATCCAGAAACCCACTGAATTAAAAGTCAGAGGTTGAGCCGGGAATTGGTGGTGCACGCCTTTAATCCCAGCACTCGGGAGGCAGAGGCAAGCGGATCTCTGTGAGTTCGAGGCCAGCCTGGTTTCCAGAGCAAGTGCCAGGATAGGCTCCAAAGCTACACAGAGAAACCCTGTCTCGAAAAACCAAAAAAAAAAAAAAAAAAAAAAAAAAAAAAAGTCAGAGGTTGATGGCAACAATATGTGTGCCCAGTCAAGAAGCCACATTCCAAACTGGGAGATCTCAGGCTAGAAAGATGGCTCAGTGATTAAGAGCACTGGCTACTCTTGCAAAGGATGGGGGAATCTGTTCCCAGCACCCGCCTGCAGGCTAACATCCTGTCTCAGAAGATCTGAATCTGGCTTCTGGTTTCTGTGAACACCACACACATGGAAAAAGATACACATATATGCAAAACACCCATAAGCAAAAATAGCACCAACAAAACTAGTTGACAAATATCACATCCTTTTAGTTCTCTGTCTGCAGGAAAAATGGACCCTGATGGCTCTTAAAAGGAAAACACCAGCAGATGAGATTCACAAAGACTGAAGCAGCTGCCTGCGTCATTCTGCCTGATATGACAAAGTGACACAGGCTTGGTGGGTTATGGATAATAGACATTTTATTATTGCTGTGTAGAGGGCAGAAGTGCAAAATGAAAATGCCATCATGCTCAGCATCTAGAGACAACCTGTTTTCTTTGAAGACTGCCAGTGTCTCACGGTGACATGATGTAGTGTAGGTGAGCTTAGTTGTCCTCAGTACCTTTTATCAGGACTCTGGGTCCATTAGATGACTCTACCTTCATAACCTATAACCTTCCAGAGGCCTCATCACCACAAGAGTAGGAATTAGAACATGAATTTTGAAAGGAAGGAAGCATTGGAGCCTAGTGATTCTGTGTTAACCGTAAGAACCCCGTCTTACTGGAAATATGTGGATGTCTAATAGGAAGAAAGGACCACAACCCAGTCTGTACTCTTCAAGATCAATGGTCAAAGTTTGTGAATGAAATTTATTCCCAGAAAGAAGAAAGATAATTTCATCTGCCCTATTGTTCTGTCCCTCAATCCCCAGGGGCAATTTTGCTAAGAGACTCTCCATGAAAGTAGACAACTGATGTATGAACATCTGAAATTATTCAAAAAAAAGTATAAGTGGTTTTGTGATAAGTCTCTACTTCAAAAAAAAAACCCATAGGTAAATTGTTCTTGCAGTTTATTGGGGGAAAAAAGACACAGAATTCAAGTTATATTATATTGAATAAAAGGAGATAAATCGCTGATAACATGAGGTTAAAATACAGAAGGATCATAATGATGCACAGCAAAAAGCAAAATATGTATATATATATATATATATATATATATATATATATATATATATTTTTATGGCCTAAAATTCTGCCCCCAAATAACCTATCTCCCCCGCCCTGCCCTGCACACTGACCAGTTGCATGGAACACATCCAGCAAATAATTTTGCTGTTAGCTTCTCAGTACAGAATTTGCTCTGTCCTCCTCAGCCTTATTCTAATGACTCTGTCGGTCTTACAGGAAGAATTTCAGCTTGGGGACAGAATGGCTGCTGAGAAAATGAACATCACTGTTGATCGTGAAAGCCCTTCTGCTGAGGTGGTTCTAGATGTAGGAGAAGTCACTCTTGGGATAAAAAGTAGGAAGGAAATGCAGGATTCTCAGAGGAAACAACAGAATACAAATATTTTAACAGCTGTGTGTGCTCTGCTGAATTCTAGAGGGGGAGTGGTCAAGGCTCATATTGAAAATCAGGACTATAATTTCAACAAACATGGACTAGGGGAAGATTTGGATACCTCTTTCAAGGCTATTCTGCCACTTGCTCAGAACCACCTAGACTTCAAGCAAGAAGAATACTTCTTTTTCATCTCTGTGAAATCACACAGTCTGGATATCTCTGGTTTGCAGCTTGCCACCATTGCAACCAATTTGTATATGAGAAATGGAGCCTCCTGTGTTCAAATGGACTTGGATACTGCTCTGCAATTCTTCATAGACATAGCCAACCCTGGATTAAGATCTCCAATAAAAACAAGTTTGCTTGACAAAAGGCCTGGTGAAGACATGCAAGATCTCCACGTGCAAGAAGAGCTGCACGTGCGAGAGCTGGCTGCTGCTTTTTTTGACCAAACAGTACTCACAGAAATGGCAGAATTCTCCTTTAGCGAATCCAAAAATGTTGAATATAAATCATTTGAAACAGATAAGTTGGTACAACGAGTTAAAGAGATTCTCCCTCTAATTGTCTCTGCATTTGCCAACACGGACGGAGGATATCTGTTTATTGGTTTGAATGAAAAGAAAAAACAAATAATTGGCTTTAAAGCAGATGAGAGAAAACTTGAGGTGCTAAGGAGTGAAATAGAGAAGTGCATTGGACACCTGCCTGTCACTCACTTCTGTGAGGAGGAGGAGAAGATAAAGTACACATGCAAATTCATCCAAGTCCACAGACAAGGAACTGTGTGTTCATATGTCTGTGCTCTCAGAGTGGAGAGATTTTGCTGTGCTGTGTTTGCTGCCGAGCCCAATTCCTGGCACGTGGAAGGCAGCCGTGTGGAGAGATTTACCTCAGAGAAATGGGTGAAGCTCCAGGTGGCTGGCAGGTTAAGGTCAGGAGGGAAATTAACATCTAGAATACATTTAGCCAGTTAAGTTGGAAGACTTTCTCTGGGTTTTGGAGCAATATCATTAGTCCTGACTTTACTTGGTGATCCACAGTGGAACCCTGAAGTCTCAGCTGCTTCTGCCATCTCCCTGGGGCATGGATCACTCTCATCCTGGATATTACTTCAGGGTGTAGGCTCTGTCCCAGGTAGTAGGCATTTCTTCAGCCATCCTTGCCTCATTTGTTTGCTGTTTCCCTCCCCACCCCTTTCCCGTTGACTTTTCTCCCTGAACCCTCTTCCCTTTCAGTAACATTATTAGACAATAGACAGCCCTAGAGTTCATGATGAGAAATGTGCCTTGCTGGTGTGTCAGGTTTGCAAAAGAAAAGCCTCTAATGAGGCCAGACCAGCACCAGTAACTCCGAGTCTGCGCTGTTCCCAGCAGCTGCTGCCATTTCCTCCCAGCTCACCACTGCTTCACTGGCCTCCCATCTTGTGTTTTCCACAGCTTTTCAATAAATAGATAAACAAATAAAAGCTCACAGTTTTCACTTTAAATGACAAACCCCCTATGGGAAACCATGGCGCTACTAAATCCAACCAAAATGATTTCTCTTAAGTACTAAAAACTTTTCTCTAAAACCTAACATTTACTCAAGTGACTTACATAGCACGAGTTGTTTAGAGAAATGCATTATCTACACTAAGAAATTTAAAAACATAATTGTCACCAAAAATTCTATAGGACCGCTCTACAGAAAGATTAAAAAGTAGAGAACCATGAAAGAAAACCCATTCTTGTTCTGCCTAAGCCAACAGGACAAACAGCAGTTGTTTTTCATTTTACTTGTCTCTATATCCAGATGCATTTGGGCTGAGTTGTCACTCCGCCCGTTGCCCATTTGGGCTGATGTTCCACAGGCCCTGCCCACTCTGCAGTCTCCCAGATGGTAGACAAAGCATCTTCCAGGTCACAGCCTAGGCACAGCAGGTCCTTGGTGCCTATGAGCAGGGAGGGGCTGGCAGTGCAGCATGTCCTCTGTGCCACAGCCTGAGCTCAGGCCTGTGGGAGAGGAAGAGGGTGTGGGTTAACATTTCACTTCATAAAGTCTTAAAGCCCAGGGCCAGGGAGCGTTCCAGCACTTCAGGGGACTTGACCGCAGAGCAAAGCAAGATAGAAATATTCTTCCCTCATTTCCCCCATGGGTCACTGTGAGAAGATGGCATGGGTGACGATTATGTCTTCCATGAAGAGCGAAGTTGCCAGGTGCAGAATCCAGGAGATGTAAGCAGATCCCGGCTTGCCCAATGTTTCTAGACGGTGGTCGCATATGCCACCCCAATGTATGCTGTTTTATTTGAGTTAAATAAAGGCAGCTAAAAAGCTGCAGATGCAAGAGGAACAATCTCATTCTTTCTCCTCCTGCAAACAGGAGAGGAAAACTGCCTCGTGCAAGATGCCCTCCTTGTAGCAAAGAAACATGCTTCCGTGGGAATCTCGGGGAAGAGCATTCTATAGCAATCACCTTTCTTATTTATATTCCCTCTCTCGCCCCATCTTCCCTTTGCCCCTTCCTTCATAGTCTCCCATCCCACGTCCTTTTCTCCCTCCTCTTCTTATTCTCTTTTCCTCCTTTCCCCTCAGTCCCCTCCTTTCTTCCTTCCACATAAATCTGGTTTCTTCATGAGAGAAAATCACCCATATTTCTCATTCCAGGACTGGTTTATTTCTTATTTCTTATTTTTTTTTCTTTTTTGGTTTTTTGAGACAGGGTTTCTCTGTGGCTTTGGAGGCTGTCCTGGAACTAGCTCTTATAGACCAGGCTGGTCTCAAACTCACAGAGATCCACCTGCCTCTGCCTCCCGAGTGTTGGGATTAAAGGCGTGCGCCACCAAGCCGGCTAAGACTGGCTTATTTCACTCAACACGAGGATCTCAAGTTACAGCCTCTCTCTCGGGAAAGACGACATCACTTCATTTTCATGTGGTTAAGTTAACCCTCATTGTAAACAAAGTCACAGTTTCTTCATCTATTCCTCTGTTGATGGGCAAGTGTCCTATTTCCTCATCTGGTCTACTGTGAACAATTCTCCAGGTGACATGGATGTGCCTGTGTCCCTGCCATCTACTGACTTGGATTCCTCCAGGCTTGGACACAGGATTAGTGCAGACTCATCCTGTGGTAGGTATTTTGTTTTGTTTTTCAGTAATCTCCACACAGTTTTGTTTCATGATTGCCCTAATTTACACATACAGTAAACTGTTATTATCCTCCAGGGAATGGATCAGGGCAAGAAAATGAAGAGATGAATATTTCTGTTGTTGTTATTCTAGTATTTGTTAAAAAATAATTTTTATATTTCTTAACAATTTTATACATTGGACAATGTATCTTGAGCATATCAAACTCCAACTGCTCCTGAGATGTGTCCTTCCCATCTTCCCCTCATCATTTTAAAACATAATCCACTAAGACCAGTAACTGTTGCCCACTTAAGCATGGGCAAGCTAGCAGGAGCCACATCTCTGAACAAAAGTGATTGCCCCTTGTGCTGGATAGTTTTATGTCAGCCTGATACCAGCTAGTTATCTGAGAGACGAGAACCTCAATTAAGAAAATGTCTCTTAACATAAGATTGGGCTGTCAGTTTTCCTGTAGGACATTTTCTTAATTTGTGATTGATGGAGGAGGGCCGGCCATCCCTGCACTGGTGGTCCTGGGTTCCATAACAAAGCAGGCTGAGCAGCCATAGGGAGCAAGCCAGGAAGCAGCACTCTGCTATGACTCTGCCTCGGCTCCTGCCTCCAGGTTCCTGCCCTGTTTGAGTTCCTATCCTAATTTCCTTCAATTACGGATTACAATGTGGAAGTGTAAGCCAAATAAACCCTTTCCTCCCCAATTTGCTTTGGTCATGGTGTTTCATCACAGCAATAGAAACCCTAAGACACTGCCTCCAGAAGCCATCAGTTGCCAGTAGCTTCTCTAGGATGGAGGCTCATGGTTCCTTCCCAATCCACACTGGAATTATTCACTGGCTTGACCTTGAGCAGGGGTTAAGGAGATGCTCACAGTTACTCTGGGTTCATGAGTACAGCAGCCCTGTTATGTCTCGAAATGGCATTTCACAGAACTGGGAGGGGGTATTTTAAAACAATTTCAGACTTTGACTCACTGTGTAGGTCAGGCTAGCCTTAAAATCACTTTGTAGCCCAGAATGACCTCCAACAGGCACCAATCCCTGTAGCTCAGCCTCCCAGACTGCTGCTGGGACTGAAGGAGAGAGCCTCCACACTAGGGTGGTTGGGGGAGTTACCTTTTGTGTCCAATAATTCTGAGTGCCTCAAGAAGTGTTTTTTAGTAAGGAAATGGAAAAAGTAAACAAAACAAAGCAAAACTAAGAAGAAAGGACAAAAAGTCAGGTCATCTCCTTGTCTACTTACCCTTTCTAGTAACCTCCATGACCCTGAGAACTGTAGTTGGAGCCCAGCTGAAGTTCTTACTGGACCTCCACTTACAGATATGTCTCTTTTTGTTGTTGTTGTTGTTGTTTTTCTTTTTGTTTTGAATTTTCGAGACAAGGTTTCTCTGTATTGCTTTGGAACCTGTCCTGGAACTCGCTCTGTAGAGCAGGGTGGCCTGAAACTCACAGAGATCCACCTGCCTCTGCCTCCTGAGTGTTGGGATTAAAAGTGTGTACCACCAACTCCTGGCTCCCATGTGGCTCTTAATACTGTGGCATCACTGTGAGTTTCTGCCCCTGGCCACAGTGACTAGCTGCTCCCTCCACAGCCACACTAGTCTCCACTCTTTTGACATCTTTTGGTTTCTGTCTATAAGGATGAAGAGAATTTCTCCAGAACAGATTAGCAAATCAATTTGTAAGGCAGGACAATTTGTGGCATGTCATGGGAGCTGGGTCAGAGCTGCCACGGAGCAGATTAGTCCCCAGCCTCAGGTCCCAGATGGAATCTTTGGCTATTTTACAAAGGAGCAGTTCCCAGGCTACTCTCCAGACACCTGTGACTCCTACTGTGAGATGCTGCTGTGAGATCATCCGAATGTCCCATAGAGGTCACACAAGTGCAGAGCACTAAACCCCTCCCTTCCAATTGTAATTGGTAGAAATGCAGACACAGGGCCTACTCATGAGAGTGTTGGTGTTCATTTTTCTTTATGAATATTTTCTCTTTTAATCTTCTTCCCCATGGTGACATTAAGGCATCCCTTTGCAGCTTGCAAACAATCCCTCCAGTGGCTTGGGATGGGGTTCAGTATTAGAGTGAGCTCTGAACATCGGAGAGGTCTTTGGATTCTTTTCTTTGCCCCTACGTTCCCCAATCCCCCTACTTTAAAAGACCAAAAGTTCACAGGTAAATTTGTTTTAATTGTATCTCAAAATCAGTACTTTTTATTGATTGAAAATGATATTTTTGCCTGCCATGGTGGCTCTCACCTTTAATACTAGTGTTTGGGAGACAGGAGAAGGATCTCTGTGAGTTTGAGACCAGGCTGGTCTACAGTGGTGAATTCTAGGATAGACAGGGCTGCACAGCGAAATCCTGTTTTTTGTTTTTTGTTTTTTGTTTGTTTTTTTTTAAATAAAGATCAAGAACAAAACAAACCCATGAAACAACAAAATTTGTTCCTTTTTAAATAAAAATTTCCAATAATTTATTTATTTTTATTTTTTGTTCATTGATGGTTTTGCCTGCTTGGATGTCTGTGTGAGGGTATCAGACCCCTTGGAACTGGAGTTTCAGACATCTATGAGCTGCCATGTGGCTACTGGGAACTGAACCCTGGTCTTCTGGAAGAGGAGAAAGTGCTCTTCAGGACTCAGTCATCTCTCCAACCCACAAAAAAAGCTCTTAATACTTGGCCACAGATGTGAGAAGCGACCACAAGAGTGTACAAGCTGAGGAAGATGCAGCCCTGACAAGATTCAGAAAGTTCTCTCCCAGAGTTAGTGAATGAGAGCTGAAGCTGTGCCTTGCACTCTGCTTGGTGCTGGAATCCCAGCACTCTGAAACTCGAGGCAGGAGAATTGCTGTGAACTGCAAGCCTATTAGAGCAAAGAATAAGAAGGAACTTTTGTTTTGTTTATGATACAGTGTTTCTCAATGTAGCCTTGCCTGCCCTGTAGACAAGACTGACCTGGAACACACAGAGATCAGCCTGCCTCTGCCTCCTGAGTGCCAGGAAGAGAGAATTTTTAAAGCCCAGGGGTAAGTGGGGGGGACAGAGAGACAGAGAGTCAGACACAGACAGACAGACAGACAGACAGACAGACAGACAGACAGACAGACAGACATTGAGAATTAAGACCACTATCACAAGTTACCAGGATAGGGTGTGTAAAGTCATAATCTTCTAATTCAGTGGTTCTCAGTCTCCGTAACACTGTGACCCTTTAATACAGTTCCTCATGTTGTGGTGACCCCAACCATAAAATTATATTCATTATTACTTCCTATGTGTAGTTTTGCTACTACTGGGCATCACAATGTAAACATCTGTATTTGCTGAGGGTCTTAGGCCACCTCTTTGAAAGGGTCCTCCAACTCCCAAAAGGGTTGAGAGCCATAGCTTGAGAACTGCTGTTGCAAGGAAATGTGAAATTCCTCCATGAGTCACAGACCCACTGGCCTGTGGCACCCTAGGGAAGAAAACATGAGGACAAGAGGTTTATACACATTGCTAGATACTGAAGTGAAGCTGACAAAACCTGTGTGGCCTGGGATGGCTCCTAAAGAGGCACTCACACTAAGAGACATCTTAGTCAATTTTTGTCTTGAAGCCATTTGGAGTCAGCACTTGCTCTCCCTGGCTGCTTGAGACCGAGAGAGAATGTTCTGGGATGTGGCAATATCTTGATTGTGTTCTAACAGATAAAGAATGCATGACGATCAGAGGGTGGAGCTAGCAACTAACTAACCAATGAAGTGACAGGAAGTCATATTGCTGGGTGGAGAGAGGAATGTTGGCGGGAGAAAAAAGGAAGTCGCCCTCTTTTCGGCTTGGACACTGAGGAGTTAAGGTGGGACTGTGATTTGCTCTTTTATCTCTCTGATCTTTCAGCATCTTCCCCTATATCTGACTCCAGGCTCTTCTTATTAAGACCTATTAGAACTCATGCTACACTGGGAATGTAAAACAAAATGAAATATAAGTAATATTCTGTTTGTAACAATATTACAAAAGGGACAGAAAGTAAGCAGAGACTATTCCAGGGGAGGCTGTGAATCACACCCACAAACAAATTCATGAAAGTCATGCGGAAGAACCAGATCTCTCATTCCGTTTCTTGTCTGTCTCTCTGTCTCTCTCTCTCTGTCTCTGTCTGTCTGTCTCTCTGTCTCTCTGTCGCTGTCTCTGTCTGTCTCTGTGTCTCTGTCTCTGTCTCTGTCTCTGTCTCTCTCTCTCTCTCTCTCTCTCTCTCTCTCTCGCGTGTGTGTGTGTGTGTGTGTGTGTGTGTGTGTGTGTGTGTGTGTTTAGAGAACGACACCAGACCTTCATATTGGGCTCCATCCCTAATCAGAGCAGAAAGTTTTTGACAGAGTCCTTGCAGATTCCATTGTAAAATGATGAGTTGAAAAACGGGAAACTGAAATATTTACAAAGTAGTTAATCACGACGGGCAAATGTAGAGATTAAATTAAACTGTGCGTGGAAGCAAAGACAGAAATTACTTGAGAGATGGAGCTGTAAAGTACAGTGATAGGATGTGTGCTTAACATGAAATGTACAAACACACAGAGACACAGATCTCTTTCTCTCTCTCTCTCTCTCTCTCTCTCTCTCTCTCACACACACACACACACAGAGAGAGAGAGAGAGAGAGAGAGAGAGAGAGAGAGAGAGAGAGAGAGAGAGAGAGAGAGAGAGAGAGAGAGAGAGAGAGAGAGAGAGAGAGAGAGAGGAAAAAGAGGGTGAGGCAGAAGAGACTAACAAGAAGGGGGAAAAGAAACCATCACAGCTGTATCATATATGAAAAGCAGATTAACATGTGTCATATGGAGGGAGAAGGAGGTAAATTAGGAAACGAATGGGGGAGGGGACAGACATAAGGGAGGAGAGAGGGCAAGGGACAAAGCTATATACCTATGGAAACTGCAGAAGCATTCCTTCATTTTGAACATTACCATAAAAGGATTAATGATTAAAAAAATGAAAAAAAACTGAGATAAAAATCAGTCAGACCTGGTGGCACATGCTTTTGATCCCAAAACTTGGAACCAGGGTGGAGGTAGGGGGCAGAAGGATCAGAAGTTCCATGTCCTGCCAGGAAACACACAGTCCAAGGACAGCAAGGGCTACATGAGACAAAGAAACTGCTGAACACAGTTGGTGTCCATCCAAACGTTTTTTTTTTTTTCCCTCCGTTACTCTGCCAGGGACTCAGTGAGTGGTTCTTCTGATACAGTTTCTTCAGTCTCAAGCTGGAGTTCATGAACGTCACACTGACTGGAAAGCTGTGACTATTGCCCAACAGGAAGTAGTCTTTGCTTCTTGAGGTTAGAAGGGTGGAGACAGGAGGCCTGAGAACTGTGTTTTCATTTTCTAAGAAACGGAACCTTGGAAAAATGGGGAAGTGGAAAGAAGGCCTTTTGCCTGGACTTGCCTTACCTCGAAGGGACAGAAGGATCTGTGTCCTTCTCAAGCCTTGGGCCTGCATCAGACAGCGACTGACCCTTGATGAATCAGGGCTTCTGGAGACTTCTTCTCTTCCAACAATCCAACACTGTGAACTTTTTTTTAATTCCCCGTGCAAGTTTCTTGCTCAAATGCTCTTGGAGCTGGGAAACATATTGATATATAATTACAAATAATTAATTCATCCAAAAGGAGTTGTTGACATTTTCTCTCTCTGCTATAGCAGTGACTGGAGCATACTCACTCATTTTCTTACCCAGGCAGCCCCTACCTGTTCCTGACAGTCAAAGTCTAGGCTGAACCCCTACCAGCAGGCAGTTGAGGCAGGAGTGAAGCTAGGGTGGTGCTCCACAGACCAAACAATGCACCCCTATAGAGTCTCCAGTGAGCTGGACATTTTGTCCCCTGTGTATCCAAACCCAAGGTCTCTGTTGGCACTGGAAGTGACAGAGCTAAAAGGGATAAGTATGACCAAAGCATGTCATTTGTGTGTAGGAAAATGTCACAGGAAAGCCCAATCTTTGTAAAATATGTATGCACTAAAATATACCCCACCTCCAACAAAACCCCTAAAAACAAAGAAACAACAACAAAACAAAATAAAACCTTGGGTTTTCCTGAGATTACTCACTGGGGCAAAGAGCTAGAAAACCATGTGTTGATGCATTGCTGCATTTAGTATAAAAAGAGCCCTAAAGAAAACAAAGCAGTAGGAGCCTTGAAACTGCTTAGGGCCACTGGGGCCTTTTCTTGCAGTACCAAGTGTGTGTTGTTGGGCGCCCTCTGCCTGCACTGGTGCCATAGCCCTCTGCATGCCCTTCCTCCCCAGGATGTCACTGCTCTCCTCCTCCCATCCCTCCAGCACCTGCTCTAGAAGCCCTGGGACTTAGGCTGCAGATGGAAGGCTGGACCTCCTGCTAAGACACTACAACCACTTCATTTCTCTTTTAAATTAAATCAAATTTCTTTCATACAGGTATTTACCATATATGGAAAATGTCCCTTAACCTCTACCTGTGTTGGCCCTTCTCCTTCCATCTTTGCCCAAATTTTCACCATGTAGTTTCACGTCTGTTTGGGTATTATTGTTTTTTGAACTTGTTTTCGTCCATTTCAATGAGAATTACACAAAGCACTGAAGCTCCCCATCATAATTCCTGGAGTGGCTAAATGCTCAAAGTCCAAGAGTAACACCGTTTAATTCATAAAACTAGTCCACTTCACATCATCAAGCATTCACATCTTGGCTGTATGTTGGCCAGCTGCTCTCCATTTCCGGACACCCAGATCACACTGCCTGTCTAACTGGATAACTGAACTGGATAACTGGATAACTGGATAACTGGAAGCATTCCAGTATTCTGAGCTTCAAGGAACTCAGCTTCTAGGACACAGAGTAAGTGAAGCCGGTCCCCTGCAGCATCCTCGACTCCACCCCCGTCATCTTTCTCGTTCTTTCCCCACCGAATGTCGGGTCCTGTCTACTCAATGCTTTCGGGTGGATGTGGGGTGGAGGAGTTGACAGCACAACTCATCCCTCTCAGGTAAACCCAACCTGGTTTCCTTGTAGGAATCTTGGCTCCTTGGCATCTTCAGAGTCTCTTCTATCAAAGCACAGGCTGCCGAGGACTTGGAGTCACCGGAGCTGTGGTGAGAGCAAATGGCTTCCTCTCTGTGAGAGAAAAGGAAAGGGAGGGCTTAAGGTTGCAGGAAGAGAACCCATTATGTTTGTTCTGACGGTGGTTTGTGAGGTAAGAAGAGGGGGGTCAGGATGGGGTATGAATGCCAGGCTTGTGTGGATCTACAGAATCCCTTGAGGGTTCCCTATCCTCTTAGAGACCTGACCTTGTTACATGGTAAGAAAACATGGGTCCCTGGAGGGAAGCAGCAGAACACTAGAGCCAGAAAGAAATCAGCCCCTATGGAATTTGTAATCTAGAAGATGAGAACTTTGCTTTGCCAAAGGAAATGTACAGTGCCAACCCAGGAGAGAAAGAGTGGTCTAGCCTTGGGTTGTTTTGCTTTGTTCCACAGACAGGAGGTCCTGCCTCTCCTGGCCCCTCTTTCTGTGCTTTCTTTCCAACCTGCAATTGTGGCAAAGTAACAACATACTCTTGAATGTCATTCTCTTTCCCAGCAAAAAAACAGTTGCTTAGACACCTTGAACCCCCAGTTCCTTTCTGAGAGAATTTCCCCAAAGTCAGTGCTACAATTTGAGAAAAAGGATCTACCTGGTAAATTAGACCCAAGGCTGCAGGAGTTCAGTGAGCTTTACTTCAGTCTTGGAATTTGGTGAGCTCTGGTGTCTACCTTGGTTTTTAAGGACTGTGTCTCAGCTGTGTGACTGAAGGTAGTGAGTATGAACCACAGACAGTTTTGATAGCTGGGGTCTTGATTTGAGATGACCAGTGTCCCAGGCTAGCCAACAGCTCCTCTAAATATGACTGCACTGTAGGACTCTTGAGTTTTAATAATCTCAGGGGCATTGTCCTTTTGCACTTTGGTGTGAGATGAGACTTCTGTCCCCTTTCCATGTGGATACTGATACCGAGTTGCTGTCTTAGGACAGGGCCTGATAAGGAGGGTGTTGGAGAGGAGAGACAGGGAAGGAAGAGGAACAGACGGTTCAGTAGGGTGGGGCTGCAGCCGTAACTATTAACTGGGCAGAAAGGAAACTGCTCTCTCTCCACAGTACAGGCTGTTCAGAATACCGTTTACTTTGGTTGAGGTTTTGCTTGATTATTTTAGAGTGGAGGGCGGAAGAGGGAGGCAGACAGGGTCTTGATGTGTACCCCAGGCTGGCCTGTAATTCACTGTGGATGTTCTGCATGCCTCAAGCTCACAATAAAACAAACAGGCTCCCAGGGGCAACACCACAGGTTGGTCTCCTTGCAGCCTTTTGGTTGGAGATGAAGCTCTCTAGCAGGGCTCATTTCCGGGGCAGCCCTCCTGTGTAGAAATATGTAATGACTGGCACTAATGCACATTAATTAGCTCTCCGATGAAGCAGAATGCTCATCAAGGTGGGAACACACATCTTCCTGAGGGTTTCTTGCAGAGTTAATTCGCATTAACACCATGGTTAAGCTTTCAGTTTAAATCAGTGACTACATTTATCTGACTTCATGTTGTTCATCTCCTGGGAGTCCAGACTTCTTCCTGGAGCCTGACTTTCAGCAACGTGTTCACTTGCTTTCCTTTAGCTGTGACCTATTTGAATCCATGGCCAGTCTGAACTTATCTTGGGACAGTGTCTTTCTCCTTGCCCAGCTCTGGGAGCTTGGGAAAAATAAAGGGAAAGTGTTGGTTTATAATAGATATGGACCCCTGGGTCTGAATCCTCTCAGGTGTTGAGTGTGCCTCCACAGACCTGCCCAAGATAAAGTTGCTGAGAAAAAATCCCAATGGTGACTATTACACATATAAGCAATTTTACCACTTGACCTAGTAATTCAGTTTCTGGAAACCTAGCATGTCTATGATTTTGCATTCTTAGACAATATTGCCTTCTTGTAAAATGAGTTATGAATTCAGGCCCACACTCATGTTTTAGTCAGAATTCAATTCCTAGAGTCAAACTTCTTTACCACAGGGTTTTTTTCTTTTCTTTTTTTACTTCAGGATTCTATTTCTTAATTTCTGAGATTTAGTTATATTTTTGTGTATCTTCTCAGGATTCCCACCTCCCATTCTAATATATCTTTATATTCCTGAACCTATCTACTTGTCGACTAGAGGAGCTTTATGAGAGAGCTCTTGGTCCTAATGAAATTCAGTAGCTGGAGCCAAGAGGCTGTCACATGCCTTTAATGCCAGCACTCAGGATGTACACTCAGGCAGATCCCTGTGAGTTAGGGGCCAGCCTGATGCATACATAGTGGGTCAATGCCAGCCAAGGGGACATAGAAATATCCTATCTCAAAAAGCATAAATAGTCGGGCATTGGTGGCACACGCCTTTAATCCCAACACTCTGGAGGCAGAGGCAGGCGAATCTCTGTGAGTTCAAGGCCAGCCTAATCTCCAGAGCGAGTGCTAGGATAGGCTCCAAAGCTACACAGAGAAACCCTGTCTCAAAAAACAAAACAAAACAAAAAGTATAAATAAAAATAGTAAAAATGAAATACAAATAAATAAAAAATCAGTAGCTGTGAATAGTATTCTCAAGACTCAGTTTGAATGACACTCCGTACTCATATATATTGCTCTAAGCCTTCAGAAGCCATCTCTAATCTCAGCTGTCATGATATCATGAAGCACTGGTGCATTAAGATGAATATGAAATTAAGTAGCAGTTTGCTGGAACTGGGGAATTGGTGCAGAGGCTCAGAGCACTTGTTGCTCTTGCAGAGGGCCTGGGTTTAGTGCCCAGCATGGTGGTTCACCAACATCCCTAACTACAGTGCCAGGGGACCCCTCTTCAGAACTCCATGGGCACCATGTACATGTGTGGTACACATACATACATGAGGCAAAACACTCATTTAAAGAAGCTGCAGCTTACAGGGTTTTGACTGAAGCTGTTAATCATTATTTTACAAACTAATTATAAATGAGATGTGATGTCAAGGAAAAATAAAATTCCAAACTTTCTACTCTGATTTCTGCCAGGATGGCAGATCATGATGAACTCTGCCACGAGGGAAAGAAAGCTCGTCATGTCTGTGAAATGGTCATTCCTTTAGTTGTACTTTAATGCATGTGCTGCACAGGGGTTGTATCCTCAACTGTCCACACATCAGGGCAGAGCTTTGTCACTCATTTTGTCGCGAGGCTGTAAACTGACACCAGCATCTTTCAACCATGATGCTAGAAGAACATGAGATGCAGAAGCTTAACTCAAACATTAGCAGATTGGATTCTGTCCTAGACTCTGACGTCATACAGACTGATGGGCTGTGCCATATTCATGGCCACTTGGGAGGCTGAGGTGAGAAGAAGATTAGAGACTAGAATTCAGGTAACTCTGGCAAGAGAGAGAAGGAAGACAAAGGAACAAGATTGTTTTATTCCCTCTAGGGAAGCATTAAACAAACAACAGTGACTAAATAAAACCAGAACTCATGAAGGTTAAATATTTATCTAGGAGAAGTCACATTCAGCACTGAAGGAACTCTCATCTTTGCAGGTCTCCTGCTCTGGAGGAGGCTACACAATGTGAAATTCCCTCTCTTGAGTGTATGATTAAGATCTCTTTATTCCAGAAGACACCAAGGTAAAACACAGGCCAGAGCTAGGTTATAGAACCCAGCAAGCGCGGCCAGAACAAAAGGGGCCAGGTCCCCATGTGCAGCCCCTTAAGAAGCTCCCTTATGTCACCCCGGCTTTCCTTCACCACGCCCTTATGGGCGAGTCCTGGGTCCACCTGGTACCTGTCCCAGGACTATTGGGCGGGGCTAGGGTGTCTCCCTACACTTGAGCACAAAGGACTTCAAGCAACTCAGATTCCTGCACAAGGGTGGGTGAGCCAGGTGTATACCAGCATCCTGCAGACCCATTTTCTTTCTCTTTCTGTCCCCATCCCAACAATAGGTCCTGGCTATTGATCTGGGATAAATAGGAGTTGATGGTTCAACCCACTGTCTCATGTAAACCCTGGAGAGTTTCTGTTCCTCCTAGAATCTTTGGCTGCTTGGCATCTTCACAGCCTCTTCTCCCAAAGCACGGGCTGCTGAGGACCTGGATGCTGCAGGAGTTTGGCGAGAGCAAATGCTTTCATTTGTTTGTGGGATGGAGGGAGGTTAAGGGAGCTGAATTATGGTTGGTCAACAACAGAGTTCCTCGGACCTGGCTTTAGCCTTCAGTGCCACAAACAGGAAGTCTTACCTTGGTAGCTCTGTGTACTGCCAAATTAAGCTTGGTCTAAGTCTGGCTGCTGAGGCAGGGGAAGAGGGGTTTGTGTAGACCACCAGAGCCCGTTGAGGATGCCCCATCGTCTTCGAGACCCGACCCTACAGCTGAAACAGACGAAAGATCTCTACACAGAGAAGAATGAAGTTAGATCTCACCCTAAATATACAGGAAACTAAAAACAGACTAAAGAGATAAATTTCAGAACCCACAGCTGGGGTACTGAAAGAGAAGCCCCAGAAGCCCTCATCTCTTCAGGGTCAAAGGCTGGATAGAGGTTAAGGGACACATTCACAGCAGATTCACAAATGCAAGAGAGGCTTTTGACAAAAAATGTTAATGTCCCTAATTATTGAAATGCAAGAAGCACAGTGAAATATGATTTGGTCTTGTCAGAATGACTGATTATTTTATTCCTTTCATCATTATTGTTTTATTATTATTGACGTTTGCCTGCCCCTGTATGTACACCAGGTGTGTGCCTGGAGCTCTGTAGAGATAAAGAGGGTGACAGATTGCCTGAAACTGGAATTACAGAAGGCTGAGAGTCATCATGTGGGTGCTGGAGATTGAACCAGGGTCCTCTGGAGGAGCAGCCAGTGCTCTTCACTGCTGAACTATCCCTTCAGCACCATGACTTTTTAAATTTTACTTTATGTGCATATATGGAACTTGGGTCTTGTGCAATAGCAGCATGTGATCATAACCACTGAGCCTCTCTCTCTGGCTCCTTATCCTGCAATTACTGTTATCAGAAAGATGAAAGATGCCAGGCATTGGGTGGTGCACACCGTTAGTGTCAGCACTCGGGAGGCAGAGGTAGTTGGATCTCTGTGATTTCGAGGCCAGCCTGATCTACAGAGCAAATGCCAGGACAGGCTCCAAAGCAATACAGAGAAACACTGTCTCGAAAAACCAAAAGAAAAAAAAAAGAGAGAAAGATAAAAGATAAATGTTGTGGATGTGGAGTAAAGGGAAACCTGTACGTTGTGCAGTGTTGGGGACAGTATGAATTAGAATGCATTTTTTGGAAAACATAGAGGCACCTCAACAAGTGAGAAGCACTACTAGGTTGGTTCAAGGGGAAATGAAGTCTTTATGCCAGATAGACAGCTGTATGTCCCTGGCCATTGCTGCATTTTTGAAAAAATAAAAATATTAAATCATGGGTGGATGAGAAGCAAAGAATATTTAGTACACACACAGTGGGCTGATATGGAGCCTTAAAAGGAAGGACATATAGTCATTTGTGAATCAGGGAAGAACCTGAATGACAATATGTTATGTAAAATATGCCAGGCACATAAGAGCAAATCCTGTATAAATTCACTTATATAAGGAATTGTTGCAAGTGATCCTGTTCAGACACCCCTTGTGGGAAGGTGTGAGTAGGCCCAACACCAATGACACAGGCCCTGGGAGTCAGTGAGTAGCAGAGCATGCTGCAGAACCTTTATTAAGGAAGTTAGACCTGTCTTTATGCCCCCTCCCAAGGTCCCATTGGCTCAGGCAGCTTGCTCTGCTGCATTGTCCTTTTCTCATTGGTGTCTCGAGGTCAGGTGACTCTTCCTCAGCAGTCTCTGGGCATAGAGGCAGGCTTTGCTCAGGGAGGAAGTGCCTGCCACACATGCTCATGCAGGCTGGCCTAGACACATAGGCAGGGCAATTGCGACTTGGGTAGGCTGGCTGGCAGTTTCTCCTACAAGGAATCTAAAAAAAAAAAACAAACAAACAAGAAACTGATATGATGGGAGTAGACGTTAGAATAGTATGGAATAGGAAGTGAGCAAGCTAGCATGCTAAAAGACTATAAAATGTCTTTAATGTAAAAGGGGCGTTGCGGAACAGGATGCCTACAGCAAACAACAGTGTGTTCTACTTTGAAAGCTACCAAAATTAAAATTCGTATCTTGTGGTACTGAGGGTTGAAGCTTGGGCTGAGGACACACTGGGCAAGTGCTCTTCATTTAAACTCTATCTCCAGCTCACTGGTTACTTTTTATTTGCTAGGTTATTCAGGCTGTCCTTGAATTCACCCTGCATTCCAAGCTTGACTTTGAACTTGTGAACTTTCTGCCTCAGCCTCCTGGGTACTGGCTTATAGGATGCACCACCAGACCTAGCTCTAGAAGCAGGTGTTAAGTGTTCTTCACACAAAAATGACAGCTTTATCATTTTGTATAAAGTTATTCTCATGTCAATTAACTTAATGTAGCCATCCCATAATAGGTGCATATTTCACATGTGTATTCTGCACTCTGAATACACTGAATTTATGTTAGCAAAAAAGGAAAGGAAGAATGGAAAGAAGACAGACAGACAAGCATAGATGGCTTAGTAATTCACAACACTGGCTGCTCTTCTAGAAGTCCTGGATTCCATTCCTAGCACCACAGAGAAGCTCACAACCATTTGTAACTCCAGTTAGTTATTCTAATGTCATCTTCTGGCTGCCAAAGACACCAGGGACACATGTGGTTCACAGACAAAAACACAGGAAAAAAAACAATTCAAATATATTAAACTATAACCATACACAGCATACTTAAACATGTCCAAAGAGTTAAAAATCTACAGGGCAGTTGGGTGGTAGCGGTGCCTGCCTTTAATCCCAGCACTCGGGAGGCAGAGGCAGGCGGATCTCTGTAAGTTTGAGACCAGCCTGGTCTACAAGAGCTAGTTCCAGGACAGCCTCCAAAGCCACGGAGAAACCCTGCCTCGGGAAAAAGAAAAATCTATAAGGCATAAAAGACTCCTGAGCATCCACACTGAGATGGCCACGTCAGCCCCAGTGGCACTCACCAACTCAGTTCCCCCGAATCAAATGAGTTCAGTGGGGTTTACCCCTCAGCAAAGGACAGGCATGAAAAGTTGCATTTACTTGATATTGGCCAAGGCACTGAAATGCCCCATCTTAGCCTCCCACATCTCTACAGCTCCTCTTGTATAAGGCTGTGTCTTTGCCATCATTCCGCACGTGAGTGCCCCCTAGTGTCAGGACAGCAAAGTCAGCTGCAGTTCAAAACAACCTCCCACAGAAAATTAGTCTGAGAAAATTGATTTGGTGGTGGTGGTGATGTTTTCCATTCACACGAGCCTCTTTCTTATTTATTGGTATTATTTTACTGAACAAAGGGTTTCACTATGTCACTGTCACCCACAAGATGACCTATGACCCTAGGACCCCTCTTTACTCTCTCTTCTCCCCTTCCCACTCCTGCTCCTCTTCCCACACAGCCTCCCTTGTACTTTAATACCTTTTAGAAGCTTTATTCTGCATGTGAGAGTCAACACACAGTTCTGTCTTTCTGCATCACTTCACTTACTCGCTCTTCGGTTCCATCCATTCTCCTGCAATGGTGCATTTCATTCACCTTTATGGCCAAATAAACCCTCAGGATAGAGTGAGGCTGCAGTACCCTGGACTGTGCATACACGCCATGTGCTCCTCATCCACTCACCTGCTGATAGGCACCTTTGCTTCAGTAACTCCGCTGTTATGAAGAGAAAGGTGACATGCATGAGTGTGTGTGTGTGTGTGTGTGTGTGTGTGTGTGTGTGTATGTGTGTGAACTTCAGGATGACTTAGAGTCTTTAGGTCGTGTACTCAGGAGGGCAACTTCCGTGGTTTTTATTTTATTATCTTTAGTAGTATATCTTTTGTTTATTCTTGGATAATTTCATATGTGTAACAATGTATCCTAATCATATACACCTCTTCTCCCCTTGTCCACTCCTAGTCCTTTCCTGCCTTTAATTTTCTCTCTTATTAATTAATTAATTAATTGTGACCCACCGAGTCCAGTGAATGTGGCCTGTTGAACACAGAGTGGCCTTGTTGGCTTGATCTTGTGCATGTACTGACTCTACAGTGAGTTCATGGAGACAGTGGCCTTGGCACTGCCACAAGACAACACTTCTCAGTAGTCCTCTCCATCCTCCAGCTTTTGTGTGTGTGTGTGTGTGTGTGTGTGTGTGTGTGTGTGTGTAGGTATACAAGGTGTGTGCTTAGTGCCCTCAGAAGTCAGAAGAAGATTCTATTCTTTGGAATTGGATTTGCAGATGGTAGTGAGCTGCCAGTCAGTGCAGTGAAGCAAACCTTAGTCCTCTGGAAAAACAGCAATGTCTCTTAACCAGGGACCCATTTCTCCAGCTACCAGCTCTCAGTTCTGACAGTTTTCATGTCCTGTCTTCTGCATTGTTCCCTGAGCTTGACAGGAAGAACACTCAGTCACTACTTCTCAACACTTTTGAGCAGTGAAGAGTCTCTGTATCAATTTCTGATCACTGCAGAGAGAAGCTCTTCAGGCCAAGCTTGAGAGTAGCAGTAATCCAAGTATATAACCATCATGGGAACGTTTTAAAATAAGTTTTAACTTATTTATTTTGTATGAATTGCTGTTTTGTCTGCGTGCATGTCTTTGTACCACATGTCTGAGCCACCATTTAGGTACTGGGAATTGAACATGGGTCCTCTGGAGTAGCAGCCAGTGCTCTTTACTGCTAAGCCATCTCTCTAGCCATGTTGGAAACTGCTGACATCAGGACACACTGTCCTAGTGTGGAAGGGTGGCTGCTTTTCCTGTAGTCTGTCATGTCAAATGGGGAACGCAAAGCTCTACTGAAAGTTGGAGTTGCCCTGGCTGGGATTCTGAGGACTAGACTAAGGATAGGTGCAAACCATGATGGTAACTTTGGGCAATAAATTTATTAATTAAACATCATATAAAGGAATCAAACAGAAATTTTAATACTACACTAATTGAATTTTTTAAATATTTGGAAAGGGCCAATACATAGTGAGTAGACAGGGAAAAAAAATCTGTAAACTGAAGAAAGACCAATGAAACCACAAACCCAGGGGGAATTGATAGGATCTGTTGTTTTAAACTAAATCTCAATCATTCGATTTTACCAAGAAAGACTCTGGAGTCAGATACAGGGGTGAGAGCCTGCTTTCTCCTACATTTTCTCAAACTCCTCCAAATGAGTGCTGCCCCTTTATACTTCCTGTGCATCTCTTTCTCTGTCCTCCTGACTCCCTCTTAGTTTCTATGATTTTTCCTGTTAATTGGTTGCTTGATCTATGGTTGACTTTATTTAATCCTGTTTGCAATGTTCAAGCAGAAAGCTCTTGGATTAAAAGTGTGTGCTAGGGCTGAGCCACACTAAAACTATAAAAGGGTTTGCCAATAAATAAAGCAATCTTGGGTTTGACATAGTGATCAAATATCCTGAAACTAGGAACTGAAAAATAAAAAACAAAACAAAGCCCAACATTACATGGATCGCTATCAGAAAGGTTAATGTGGTAATTGCTTTTGTCTCCAGAACCTGAGGTCAGAAAGGAGGTGAGAAGTTATTTGAAGAAATAATGCCTGGAAACTCGCCAGTGTTGGTGGAAGATGTGGATCCACAGACATTCACAGAGCCATCTGGTCAACTGCAGTGTCCAGGGGATATTCTCCAGGGCAGACAGCATGCCAAGCCAGGACCTTTGAAAGAATCAAAGTATGTGAACTAGATGATTGTCATATGGGAAGGAATGAACTAGTAAGCTGCCCAGAAGCAAAGTCAGAAGCACAGAGGGTCCTAGGACAGGAACAAAGTGCTCCTAAACAATGACACAAATAAGACTTCATATGATTAGAAAAGAATGTCCTGAGAAAATGAGGAGAGGAAATCAAGACACCAGAGCATAGAAGCCACACCGTGAGGGCGAGTTAAGAGTGGGGAACACCTACATTAAAGGACCAAAGGGGCTGTGGTGTGTCTCCTGGAGAATGCTCACCTGACAAATGCCAAGCCCTGAGTGTCACCCCAACCACTGTGAGGAATAGAGACCATGGGACATGCTCACACTCAGTGTATCAACCCAGTCTCAGAAAGACTAATCTCAGATATTTCCTCTCAGTTGTTTCCCAGAGTTTATAGATTATACATCCATAAAACCATGTGTGTGTGTGTAAGACATGAAAGAAGTGGTGAAATTGTATAAGGGAACATAGGGGACAGATGGGACGGTGACATCAAAGAAAGGTCAGACAACACATACTTAGTGTGCAGCACACACTTTCTGTAGAGGTTGGAGAGTTGGCTCAGGGCTTAAGAGAAGTTGTAGCCCTTGCAGAGGACCTGGGTCAGATTGCCAGCACTTATGTGGTGGTTCACAACCACCAGCAACTCCAGTCTTGAGGGATCCAACACCCTCTTCTGACCTCCATGACCGCCAAGCATTCCTGTGGTGCACATACATACATGCAGACAAAACACTCATGCACATAAAGTAATAAAACAAATAAGACTACACAATTTTATATGTCCCTTATATAGCCCAGTGCCATGAATGATGAATATACACAAAGAAGTTTATTTGTTCAAAACTACTAGAAAGGATCAAATATGATTGTGACAATGAATTTAAAAATTTAGCAATTGAGTATTGTATTGTATTTCACATTGTCCCACCAGCCCCTAAACCAAACATCATGTCTGACAATCACACTTAATCACCCAGAGCAGGTCAGACAATTTTGCTGTGTCTTGTAAAGCAAAGCTGGGTCTCACTGGTTACGTCTTCTGTAACGCCTCTGTCTGTTTTACAGGAAGCCACGTCATCTTGGAAACAGAGCCAGTGCTTGCAAAATGAGCATCAGCCTTGATCAGGAGACAGACTATGCAGAGCTGGTTCTCTCTGTAGGAGAAATCACACTGGGAGAGATGAATAGGAAGTTAATGAAAGATACTCAACTAAGAAAACGACAGGCCAAAATTATCTCACAGGCTGTATGCACTCTTCTGAATTCTGGAGGGGGCGTGGTCAAGGCTCACATTAAGAATTCCAATTACATCTTCACCAGAGATGGAATAGGACTGGAAAATTCTTTTTGTGATATTCTTCCACTTCCTCAGAAATACCTAGACTACATGCAGAACAAAGACTACTTTTTAATTTTTGTGAAACCATGGAACCCAGATATCTCTGGTCTGCGTGTCATCACCTTGAAAACCAATTTCTACCTGAGAAGTTTATCATCGTCACATGAACTTAAAGCTCCTGATGCAGTGAAGTTCCTCAAAGAAAGGAAGGATACTAAAGGGAGATCAAGACAAAGTCGGCCTGGATCATTTGATTCTGATGAATTACAACCAGAAAGTCTTGTCATGTTTTTTAACATGGAAAAGCTTATCTACGAGGAGACATTCTGTTTCACTAAATCCAAACATGCTGAAGTTAAAATGTCCCCTAAAGAAAAGATTAAAGAAAAGATTTTAGAGATTCTCCCTCAGACTGTCTCTGCATTTGCGAACACTGAAGGGGGATATTTGTTCATTGGTTTAGATTTGGAAAAAGAACAAATAATTGGTTTTGAAGCAGATGAGAGTGACCTCGTGGAGCTAAAGAGTGAAATAGAGAAGTGCATCGGACAGCTGCCTGTCACTCACTTCTGTGAGGAGCAGGAGAAGATAAAGTACACATGCAAATTCATTCCAGTCCACAGACCAGCCACTGTGTGTTCATATGTCTGTGCGCTCAGAGTGGAGAGATTCTGCTGTGCTGTGTTCGCTGCAGAGCCTGATTCCTGGCACGTGGAAGGCAGCTGTGTGAAGAGGTTTACCACAGAGGAATGGGTGAAGCTCCAGATGGACACCACACCAGGTTGAAAAGGGGGACTGCAGTCACTTTACATTTGGGACAGGGGGTTGGAAGATTTGTGGGACTGGGGAATGTCGAGACTCCTTATGTCTCAACAGCTAATTTACTGACCTCTGCTAGATACAATCCTGAGTTGACAACCTCCTGTTTCCTTCTGCCCTCCTTAAGAGATTCCCGATAGAAAGTACCTTAGCTGTTTTCAGAAATGCTATGAGCTATTCCCTTCACAATGGCCAACTGTGATACAGCCTGCATTTCTGGTGGCCAGGACTGAAGCAAGAAGAGGAAGGGGCCCCAACTCATAATTCCCCTCGACGGTGTTCTCACCTCTCACAGGGGGTTAAACTGACATCTCTGCCAAGACATAGGCCATGGACAAAATGCAGCCCAAAGTTTTGCCACAGAAAACTGAAAGTGGTCCTTAGTCAGGCCTCCCTGGCGGTTCCATTTCCATCAGAAGGCTGGTCAGCCGAGCCTTTCATGGTCACTGTCCTATCTGCTTCCTGCGCTTCTGCTCATCCCCCCAGAGCTGCCTATAAGTTCTCCTTGCCTCTTTCCAGACTATGTCTAGAGTGTTTGTAAAATTCCCTGCAATGGCTGTTGTAGCCCATCCCCAAGGACCCACTGCACTGATCTCGTTTCTCATTGTCCAATTTCTGTGTCAGTTGTCTTTCACTAACCGTGACAAATGCTTTAGAAAATCAAGTTATGGCCGGGCGTTAATGGCACACACCTTTAATCCCAGGAAGGCGGATCTCTGTGAGTTCGAGGCCAGCCTGGTCTCCAGAGTGAGCACCAAGATAGGCTCCAAAGCTACACAGAGAAACCCTGTTTTGGGAAAAAAAAAAAAAAAGGGAATTCCCTTTGTTTGGGCATTTGCATGTGCTAGCACACCATGTATTGTCTCCTTTGCTTTGGTGCCTGTGATGACCTGTGTTCATTTCAGGAACCCCACCATCTAATCTTCCCCGTTGTCCCTTACCTTTTATTCCCATCTGCCTCTCTGCTGAACACTCCCTCCTTCCTTTCACATTTGTGTACAAAATGGAACTATACATTTTTCTCCGAAGAGAAGGAAATGATGTCCTTTTATCTCCTTTGGAACAGGAAGCCTTAGTTGAATCAAAAACCAGAAACTTACACCATCTGAAAATCAGAGTTTCCTCATCTCTGCCCAAACTCACTTCTTCACCAGGCTTCCTTCCTTCTGGAGTTAACTGCCTTTAAAAGAAAGCAAAGCTGGGGACATTTATGAGATGATAGAGTACTTGCCTACCATCTAGAAGCCCTGGCTTCAATTGCCTTCATTTTGTAAAATCATAAAACAGGGAATAGTGATGCACTGTGGCCCAAGGTCCACATAGTGGGTTTGTGGCCAGCATGGTCTTGAGAATGCCAGTCTCTATTTAAAAATGCAGGAAGTAAAACAGACCCATGTAATTGTTAATACATTTCACTACTATAGTGCACTTTCTGTTCTTATGTTTTCTGTAAGTGTAGTGTGGAGCTCACTATCATCAAAGCTTCATTTTGCAAATTGTATTTGACCTCAAAATCTAACCCCATTTCCTCTTAGGAAGACACAGCTCACCTGAGACTTTTAACACACGTTAAACTAGTTGCTGAACAGTATGACCTGTGGAAAATTTAAAATTGCCTATATGTCTTCTCAGGGTCTTCCAAGGAAAATGATAAACAGACCCTTCAATCAAGCATCCCACCACTCTGGGCCTGTAGCTGTTTTGCTCATGACATCCCGGAAGTTCAGCAACAGAGGGCTCATCTTCCAGGTAGTGTCACTGTGGCTTCCTAGGTTGGTTGCTATGACTATGTTCAAGCCTCCTTGCCCCATCAGGGCTCCATGTTGAAATCTGTCTCTAGGCTTCCTGCACTGGCATTGATACTTGTTTTCAGGTCCCACACCACCCTGCCCTTGCCAAGCACACATACAGAATAGCACCTGGCTACATGTCACGTTCTGACATAGAAGGACTGTAGACACAATGTACTTCCTCTCCAATGCTAACTGGCCAGGTAGAAGGTGAGAATGCCATTCAAATCCCTGTACTGGATACAAAACTTTCAAGAACTATGGGTTTACACTGTGATTGCCAGTCTATGCTTACCAGGGAAGCCTGGTCTACCTTGTGGTGTCCTCTGAGGCATCCTCTCTCCATCCCTGGATCTCTGGGAATGTGTTCTGCTCTCTCCTTTGCTTTATGGAATCTTCCTGTTTCTCTACACTTTCCTCCTGTCTCATCACCTCTTTGATGCTTACTGATGCCTGACATTTCTGTCTTCAGCATCAGGTCTGTCCTTTGCTCCCCTGACTCTTCTCAGTCATGGAGTTGCCCAGAGAAAGCTTCTGATGCACCCTGTTATGGAAAAGGTGGGGGTGTGAGTGTTCATCCACTTCCCAGGCTCCCCCTTGGCAGAGTCTGTGTTTCTAAGACCCCCTTGTAACTGCAGCCCTCCTGTTCTTGAATTATTATTGTTTGGTATCATGTGTGTTCACCTTCTGGTGATGCAAAGTGGGGAACTCACTAGCTGCTTGGTGATGGTTCACTCCTGGCAGTTTTCTTTTTAATTTGATATGTTCATTTATTTTTCTAGTGGTGTTTAGAAAGGTGACATGCTCTCCAGAAGCCCTCTTCATGGAACAGTTCTCAGAATATGAGCGATATGAGCGGTTACTTTGGACAGAGCTGGGCTCACTTCGTCAAGGAATGCTGGTCATCTCTAAGACCTGGACTTTGGATCCTGGCTCACAGGAGAAGCAGGAAGTCATCTTGGATATGCTTCATATTTCCCAGGACAGACTCCTGACCCTGCACAGCTTTGTCCTGGGAGATGGGGAGCTGGAAGACGACAGCACTGTTCTGAGGGAACTAGGTGCTAAGTTAAAGAACTATTGTAAACAAACGGCACTAACTTTAAAGCAGATGCTGGTAAATCATGCTGGTTACACAGGGAAAATAGGCGTTGTGATAAAGATAACGTACTTGGGTCATAGGGCCATGTCTCTATATGATTCAAGCTCAATAATAAGTTACCCTAGTAACTACTATCTGACAACCAAGACAGTAAGGAACTTAAAGAAGGCTCTTGATGAGGTCATACGGACAGTGTGTCGACATAAAACTACAGTGATCAGTTTACCTCTAAAATTTGAACATATAAAATTAGATACCTTAATTTTTGTGGAATGTCGTAGATCATTCTGCGACTCCTTGACATGGGAAAATGGACTATGATGCAATGATAGTTCTGAAGGTGATAATGTTCTCTCATTCCATAAATATATGGAAAATGTATCTTTGAATAACTTCACAGGAATAGAAACGAAATTCTGGGAAAGGGATTAGTTATTGAATAAAGAAATGATAAAACAGGGCTTTAAAAATGTGTCCCTGAGCCGGGGATGTAGCCCATACCTTTAATTCCATCACTTGGAGGAAGGCTGGTCATCTTAGTCTACATAGGGTGTTCCAGGACAGTCAGGGTTGTGAAAAGAGACCATGCCTCGAAATAAATACAGAAGTTAAAAAAAAAAAAAAAAAACCTGTCTGACGAAATGCATGCTGCCTTTAATTATGGAAGACACTCTTCTGGAAAAGCCAGCAAAGAAAATGGTGAAGAAGGCACTAACTACATGCAACACTTTTTTACATTGTTGCTGCTCAGCTGCTGCCTGTGTCACTGCTGTTACATCTGCGATTTGTGTGTGACAAGTCCAGCAAGGACTTTCCACATGTCCAATATCACTGAGTCAAGGCCCAGTGTATTCAAAAAGTAAATGCAGACTGCTCACAGCAGCATACAGTCAATACGGATCGTTTCCAAAAAGGTGAAAGACACATAGACAGGAATATAATTGTTTGTTCTAACTTGAAGAAAACAATGTATCCGTTGCTGTAAGACTTCAAAAAGTCAACTTGCCATGCAAGTATTCTCTATGGGGCTATAGCATACGCTCCAGTTCCCATTTGTAACATTGTTCCCTTTTGAAGTCTTGATAGCATGGTTTTATTCGTGCGATATCATTCTTTTATGGTTTGATGTGTATATGTTTTATATTCGAATTCTAGTATTGTTTGTGCTGTAGATTAACACCTGTAAGGGTATTTACAGCATTGAGTTTATATGCGAGTATTGTGCATTAATTTGAAATGTTGGTGGTCCCTTCATAAAGGAAGCAATGTCCTTCTGGTACATCTTCATTTGTGAAGGATAAAATTTCCAACATTTGGACCTTAGGAGTGATGATATATGCAGTGGTACCTGTTGCGACTTTTGATGGAGCTCATCAAAAGCCAGGTTGACCATCAATCATGAGAACTCCTATGACAGGGGCTTTAGGCTGAGGGCTCACAGATGCCAGTCATCCTATGCCATATTCTCTGTTTTCATCAATACAATTTATTTTTAAAATCTACTTGATTTTTCATCTAATTTTTTCTGATATCTGGATCTTTCTGAATACAATTATTTTGTTTGTATCATTCTTTGATGAAGTTTCGTTGTAATATCTGGGAAGGTACAATTACCAAAATTTGAATGCCAACAAAATGTTCTGGCAACTTTTTATGTTTCTAAAATAAATGATCATTTCAAAACATCATCGATGTCTTTTAAATAATTCTCATTGTCTTTCCAGAATAATAGTTCTAGATTTTAGATGTTTTGATTACTTGGGATTGTGGTTTTCAGTATTGTGGCTCAAACTTGTGTAGACCATGGAAGTAAGATGACATGTCAGTATGGCAAAGTGTACCCTGTCCTTGAGATACCTTGTCCAAGCAACAGTCCTAGAGGACACCCTACCACTCTGCACAAGCAGCCCTGAGTCTGAATGAGGTGCATTAGAATCGTTTGGAGATGGAGGCAAGATCTAGTGTGAACTCATGAAAGTAGGTCAGGGAACACCACGATGGTCTGGAAATTGCTGTACTGCCAAGGTTGTGGGAACTTCTGGGAGGTTCATTAACAGAGAATTTGGTAAAAAGCAGCTCTCTATTTAATGACAGCCTCTTTGAGTGACAGGATGGGGGCTGGATTAATCTAGGCAAATGGGAAGCCGGAAACAAAGTAAAGGATGGCTCTAATTGTATGGGGAAGAGAAGTAGACTGGGAAATGACAGTGGAAGTGGTAGTGATGACATGCTTGACTGAAGGGTCAGGTTTTCAGGCAAATTGGAAAAACCTCAACAATTGAATGATATGGCGGGGGAGACAGTGATGGCTCATTGGATCTGCCACCTTGACTGAGGACCTGAGCCTCAATCCAAGGGATCTAGTGCCTGGAAAGAAGATTGACTCCTGTAATTCGTCCTCTGACCTCCACATGGTGCTGTGGTACATGAACACCCATCCCAACATCTACATACAAACAGATACATTTATTCACTGCTAATTTTTTTTTAAAGAGGCCCATTTTAGGGCTTGAAGTGATGTCTCGGCAGTTAAAAGGACTGGCTACTCTTGCAGACAACCTGCACTGTATTCCCAGCACCCACGTGGTGACTCACAATCGTCTGTAATTCCAGCTCCAGGGGATCCATTACACTCTTCTGTCCTGGGGAGAGCCTGAGGCTCTGGGTGTGGGTCAGATACATACATGTAGCACTCATATACCTAGTGTCAAAATAAGTTAACATATTTTTGGTCTTTTTAATATATTTGTATAAATTCTATTTCATTTAGAATTTACCTCTCCAGTCCTGCAATTCTATCTCTTAAAAAGGAAAAAAACAAAAAACAAAAAACAAAAAAACAGTCCATTTCAAGTTGAATATAGGGAAGACCTCCAACTAACTGGTACATAACATATAACATCTCCTTAAATCTGACTGCTTTCCTAAAAGAAGCCAGGCCTTAATTATTGTTGTTAGATTCCTAGGTCTGAAGTAAATTGTAAAATTAACATTTGAGGGTCCTGCAATGTTCTACACTTGAAAGGCAACAGTGAGAATGAACAAACAGCAGTGAGCACATTGATGAAATATTTACATATTAGTCAAGAGTTTGTTGGAAGAGCACTTACAATCAGGATAGAGGAGGTTGGTAAAGGAAACTGGGGAGATGATGGAAGCAGATACAGGCATCTGCAGTCACTGGTTGGATGTTGTTGATTCATAGTTTCCCTGCCTTTAATTCTTTAACTGGCAGAGAAAGGCTTGGTGCTGTATTAAATGTGTTTTCTTCTGTGAGATGATATCAACTTTTGGGACTTGGGGTAAACTGCTATAGTTTGCATCCTGAGCGTCACTCAAGCTTCCACTTCATAAAAGTCTGGTCCTCCCATGTAGAGGGCCGTAGGGGTATACAGCAGATGACAACTAGTGTTCAGCAAGCTGACCCATCAAATGTACAATTCTCTGATGGGGAGCCCCACCTGGGAAGGTTATAAGGTCATTGTCTGTAGATAACTGTCTGTCTAATTTCTCTTGTGAGCCACTTCATTTCTTCCTTAAGAACAACTTTGGGTATATTCCTACTGCTTGTGTATCTCATGAATATATTCCAGCTATTTGAGCACACATAGCTGAGGATGATCAGGAAGATGATTTCTGCTTAACTGTATAAGTCTGATGAATAGAAATAATACTAAGACATTCTACATTACTCAGAGTGACATAGGATTCTCTGTCACAAAGACAGCCTTTTACACACACAGCTAATTTTAGACTTCAGAACAAATTTAAAGCAGGCTCGTTGCCCTTGGAGACAAATACACAAGGTCATTATCCCAGGTGTGGCTTGTTGCTGATTCAAAGTTGTGATAGAAGCAACCTTAACAGACATAAATCTTCTGCAGTAATTAACTTTTGCACATAGTCCCAGTCTCACTCTCAAGGCTCAGCCAATTGTTTACTGTCTGGGAACCCTCACCCACTTAGAGAGACCTGGGTAGCCAAGCGTTACTTACTGGCCAGTCAATGTGACATCGCTAGCCTAAGAGAAACTATGTGAGTTATCTTGTGTTATGAGAATGGGCTGGGTTCTGAAAATGTGACATAGAAATGCCCTGAATTTGACCAAGACAGAAGCGGTGGTGGAGACAAGGAAACTGTGTAGAGCTATGTAAGTGCTATGCAAAATGGGAGTGAAGTCTCTGTGTGTGTGTGTGTGTGTGTGTGCTGAGTGAGAGAGTGAGTGGTGTTGAAGACTTATATGTGCTGTAACTGTGAACCAGAGTAGAGGAAGGATGGAGAGAGAGAGGGAGAGAGAGCGAGAGAGAGAGAGAGAGAGAGAGACGTAGAGCTAGTCAGAGAATCTGCTGAGTGGAGCAATAGAAGGGATGTCCACCTAATTAGGAAGCTGTGAAGAGAGATTTTTCATAGAGGATTTTTTTCAAGATGAAGTAAAGAAAAAGTTACCATCAGAAAGCATCTGTGTTTTCTCATTTTTCCCCTTCAGATAGAAAAAGTCTAACCTTTAGATAGATAAGAACTTTTCCTAAGCCTTCGCTGCAGTTTCTTGAAAACCCTGGTGCTGACTTGGGAACTGCACTCCCTCCCCAAGTCAGTCATACTTACAGTGATGCTAATTGGGGTTCGTAGGATCATTAGGGGATGTTCCTAACGACTCTGAGGAAAATCCCATACTAGTATAAACAGCATACAGGAGCTTGTTGTGTGGTCTCACAAGATCTTGAAGGGACTTAGGGGTCTCTGGCTTCCACACCCTCACTGCCCCATGTGCTGCCTCCAAAAGCACAGCGTCCTCTGGTCAGACAGGGACCTTCAAAGCTGCAGGCCTACACAACTGCCCCCCTCTATATTCACGATCTCAGAGACTTGCCACTGTGACAGAGAGCTGAAGATCGCACACAGGCTACTGGGAGGAGTTCACACGCTTCCTGTGTAGCATCATCTGGGTGGGAGAGACAAGAGGTCATGAACTCTTGATGGCATCCACTGGTGATCACTGCCTTACTAAAATCAGGACTGATGATCTTGACCCAAATTCCAAGGTGAAACCCTTCAAACTGATATCAGAAGGGGGCCTATGTGGATGGAAGAAACTGACCAGTGGAAGAGGAAAAATGTACCAGGGGTCCCTGAGAGCAAGAGAAAAGGAAAACAGAAATTTACCATGAGGGCTGGGCAATGTCCTGGAATGATGTGACCTTCACTACATCCTTCTGCATCCCCTCCTGTACTTAGTAACCCTTCCTGGATGCTGTCAGGACAAGAAAAGAAGACCACCATGTGGTTTAGTCTGACCAAATGCTCCTATTAGATCTTGCTATATCCTCTAAGAGACTTTCCCTTCCTCCACACCCAAGCTGTCTTGAAAACTGAATCTCAAAATTTTAAAATAGCCAGGTGGGGTGGTAATAAACACTTTTAATCCCCTGGGCAGACATATCCTTTCACTTTGGAGCTTGGAGCAGCCTGGAACACTGGGTCCTATGGACCAGCCTATGGAGTTGATTACAGGTCTGCACCATAAAGCCCAACCCAAAGTGAGTTTTGGTCTGTTTTTAAAAAGAAAGGAATGGTGTCGGGTGTGGTAGTCCACACTTTTAGGGTGGCAGGGTCAGGCGTATCTCTGAGTTTGAAGCCTGTCTGGTCGACATTGTAAGTTCTGGACTAGCAAGGCTGAGATGGGAAGATCACCGAAATTCCAGGTCAGTCTGGGTTTCATAGGCTGGAGACTGCAAGCAAAAACAAGACTTACAAGGAAATGAATCAACAAAAGGGCGGGGATAGGGGGAGCACCGGAGCAATAGTTACAGCAAAACCGCTGAAATTCCAAGGGCCCATCTTCCAAGGCTCAATCCGCCCCTTCAGAGATCAGAACGTGTCCATATCCGTCCCCTGTCTCCCCGGTAGTCCCCCCCACCCCCCCACCCCCATCCCACTCTGGGAGGGTCCTGCCCCCCTCTGCTCAGTCATTGATGTCTCTCAGAGACAGATGCAATGCAAAAGTGGGCTGGTATAAGAGGATGAGTGTGTGGGTGAGGAACGGAACCTTTTTGTGGTGGATGTTGTCAAGTCTGTATCTGGAAATTGTGAAGAAAAACCTGAGACAACCGCTGTAGTTCCTTCAGCCATCTTGAAGCTCTCCTCGTAGCGGAAACCAAAAGCGCTCTAGGCGGGGCATGTAAATGATGACTGGCCCGGTCACCTCTGGGAACGAAAAGTGCAAGGAAAACTTACGCCGTCCTTGGATCTCCCAGACTTTTTTATAGAGTAAACGTCATGACCACGATAAAAAAATAGGTCGGTGTTATGTCGTGTTTGTTTGTACGAGCATGTTTGTAACCGTGAAATTAAAGTGGGTGTGCGTGTTAGTGGAGTTGGAGTGTGGTAACTTAACGGTATCGCTTCTCGGCCTTTTGGCTAAGATCAAGTGTAGTATCTGTTCTTATCAGTTTAATATCTGATACGTCCTCTATCCGAGGACTATATATTAAATGGATTTTTGCAAATAGGAGTTGGAAGAGGAGCTTGCTCCGTCCACTCCACGCATCGACCTGGTATTGCAGTACTTCCAGGAACGGTGCATCCCTATTGGGGAATAACTCTCTTGTTTCAAAAAAAGCTTGTTGCTATGCGTCTAGTTTTGTCTCTCGGTATATATCGCTGAGTCGGTAGGTTAGTGCTCTTATCTGATGGTGTATTATGTTTTCAGCTTAGGGTGTTTATTTTATTGTGTTGCTTTTAGTTCTGTGCAGGTTATAGCTACTTTCTTGGTTTAATACTCCTGACAATTAGATCTTAAAAAGAAACTACAAACTTGAGGTAGTTGGGCATGTATGCTCTTAAGTTCCAGAAGTATCTTGAAAAACTTAAAATTAAAAGGTTTTTAAAAGATGCTAAGTTCCTATGTATGGTAGTAACGCAGAAAGTTATACACAGAGGTCTTGAGCGAAGATCATCTGCCTCCCCAGTGCTGGTATAAAAGGTGTTTGCCACCACGTCCCTGTCGTGAACAGGCACCAGAGGAGTGTGCTTATGAAGACAACTCAGCAAACGCATATCTAACAATGTGCTAGCACTGGAAATGAAAGAGCAGAAATGAAAAACAACTGGGGGTGTTGTGAAAATAAGAATTAGGTTTTGTATTTGTTTTTTGTTTTTGTTCTGTGTGTTCCATTATAATACATCATTTTTATAGAAAATATACTACTTACACATTTCCTAAATCATTTGAACAAAATTTAGAGTAAGCTATGCCTGGTGCCGTAGGCCTGTGATCCTAGCTACTCCCGGAGCTGAGGCAGGAGGATCACAAGTTGAAAGTCAGCCTGGGTAACTTAGTGAGGCCTGGTCTCAAAATTTTTATTTATTTATTTTATTTTAACTAGTCTGGGGCTATAGCTTAATGATTTGAACCCAAGTCTTCTGGAAGAAGAACAATTGTCTTAACCGCTGAACCATCTCTCCAGCTCCTGTAGCTTGGTGTTCCAGCCTTGTCTAGAAGATACAAGGCTTTGACCCTCAGCATGAACACTGCATATACATCATTCCTATCCTCCCTACCCCACTCAAGTTCATGATCATCATCTTTTTTAAAAATTGTTACTGTTATATGTATACACTTATGTGTATGTATACATATGTACATGTGTATATGTAACATATTGAGTCCATTTAGCTTTGCTTGTATGTACATGCATTCAGGCTGACCTTGGGATTCGACACCCTATGTGGGAGCTGGTCTCTGGAAGCAACCAATTCTCTCTGTCTCAGTAGCCGTTGACCTCCTGCAGCTTTTTGTCTAGGGGTGGGACCATGTGGACTTTCCCCTCTCCCCATTAGCAAGTGTGTCCACTGATAATGTCATTATGCTGGTCATATTGAGAGTTTGGGAGTGCAGCTTCCCTGTTGTGTCTAGGAGATTCGATCTAGCAGCAGGGGTCATGGTACTATAGTTCTCACAAACTTTCTTCCCCACTTTTCCATGGTTTTCCCTGAGCCTTAGATTTAGGGGTTGTGTTGCAGATGTATCAGATAGGGTTGGCTCCCCCAGTCATGGATTACCTGCATTTTGATCAGTCATGGGTCTCTGTGACAGTCTCCATCCGTGGTAAAAAGAAGCTTCTCTGATGAGGGGTGAGAGCTCCACTCACCTGTATAAGCATAGTTACTGAGAAAACAAATCTTACTGCTTTAGGGAAGTAGCAGTAGTAAATTCTCCTCTCTGGTTTATGTCCTCTCTAGCCATGGGGAGTTGACTGGGTTTACAGTACTAGACATGAATTCCTCCTGTTGAGCAGAGCTTCCTTCCAATCAGACTGTTGTTGGTAACCAAAAATAAAGGTGCCACTGTTTCACCATTGTGGCTATCTTGCCAGGCCAGTCAGTGTTGTGACTCTTGGGCTGTACAGTGGGGTAGGACTACCAAATGCATCTCTCTCTTGGCAGCTTCCATAGACTCTTCTGGTACTATGAGAGCCAGACATCAGGGAGGAGGCTCCAAGGCCAGTTCCAGATCATGTCCTGGGTCTGAAGTGTGTGACTTCTTTAGCAATAGTGTCTTACCTTCAAATCTGGGAGGCAACCAAGGGCAACAGCAGTAGTCTATATTGTTTTGATTGGGGGTCTCTTGGACTACTCTGACCAACAACTCAAGAGAACTCATGATTCTCATACATGGTACTGGGGGTTTTGCAAGTTCATGGCTCATTCAGGGAGCATTACCACCCGGAATGTGGTAACTTCTTTAAACTACACATCTGAATATATACACACACATGCACGCATATATTACATGTAATTTTAGGTAAGTGTAAAATCATACAGTCTATATGTTTTATGAAACATTCTCAGTGTTATTTATCACCCCTCTGTATTGCTCACCTTTCCCCCTCCCATGTGAAAGCCCCTCTATTTACCCCATTTTCTGCTTCATAGCACTGTGACCTACCATCCCCCAACCTAGAGCTCCCCTGACTTGGTCCCTTTTGACTTGCCTGATTTCTGGGGTTTCTCATGTCTAAAGACTCTGAGCTAAGAACCACAGACAGGAAAGAACATGTGGCATTTGTCTTTCTGGGTCTGGATCACTTCACTCGGTATATAGTCTAGTTCCATCCATTCACCTGCAAAATGCGTGGATTCATTTTTCTTTGCAGTCGAGTAGAATTCCTTTGTATACATGAGCCTTTTCATTATCCCTTCAGTTCTGAAGGTCATTTAGGTTGTTTCCACTTCCTAGCTGTTGTGAATACCATGGCAATGAGCATGGCTGAGCACATTCATTGTGGACTATGACGTCAAATCCTTTGAGAACATGCCCAGGAGTGGTTAGCTGGTAGATTTATTTTTAGCTAGTTGAGAATTCTCCACACTGGTTTCCAGAGTGGAACCGGTTTTCAATATCTAGCTCTACTGTTGGGATATGCAAAGGGTAGACCTAAGGACAGATGTGAAGCGATGGCACTGTGACAATGACACTGTGACAATGACACTGTGACAATGACACTGTGACAATGCTTTGCAAAAAGGTAAATGGAAGAAGCAGCCGTATAGAATGTAAAGTTGACTTCAGAACTTGCAATGTGTGTAAAACATCAAAAGGGAATGAAAATAAGCAAAAATTAAAGAAAATACACTGAGGTCAAGAGATGCTCAGGCGCTTTTTATTTTTCTTTTTCCTTCTCTCAAGCTGACACAATCATATTCTATTGTCCTCTTTTAACAATATTTTAGCAGCTTCACACAACAAGCAACTCTTTATCTCTGTTATTTTATTACACTAATTGCATTATCTATCAGATTAAGGGGGAAAAGAGGAGAGAGAGAGAGAGAGAGAGAGAGAGAGAGAACATAGCTGGCTACTAGGTTCAAGCTGTTCCTCTAGCTATTCTTTTTGTTTGTTTGTTTGTTTGGCTTGGGGGCTGGGTTTTTTTGTTTTTGTTTTTGTTTTTGTTTTTGAGACAGGGTTTCTCTGTAGCTTTGGAGCCTGTCCTGGAACTCTCTCTATAGACCAAGCTGGCCTCCAACTCACAGAGATCCACCTACGTCTGCTTCCCAAGTTCTGGGATCAAAGGCGTGTGCCACTACTTTCCCCGATGCTCTAGCTTTTTTTTTTTTTTTTTTTTTTTTTTTTTGGTTTTTCGAGACAGAGTTTCTCTGTGTAGCTTTGGAGCCTATCCTGGCACTCGCTCTGGAGACCAGGCTGGCCTCGAACTCATAGAGATCCACCTACCTCTGCCTCCCAAGTGTTGGGATTAAAGGCGTGCGCCACCAATGCCTGGTGCTCTAGCTATTCTTACTATAAAGCTCTTCTCACATCATTTGGTATCCTGTGCTCTTGATGAATGTACAAATAAGCAAAACACCCTTAGACCACTGGTTAATATAGTTCACACTCTAAACTGAGTGGCATTTTCATTCATGTGCTTTGTCTTCTGTGACCTTGGTTAGCAGAAAGTCAACCCCAAGAGATTAATCTAGACTGTGAAAACAGGAAGTCAAGTTTGGACCTTTGAAGCTTGAGACCTGCAGACAGCCTGAGATGCTAGACTAGGTGTTGCCCTCAAGACACCCAGTCCAAGTAATTGGTCTAACGGCTGTCCCACCATTACTCTCACCATAGCTACAAGCCTGGAGTGCATTAGAAACACTGGGAGATGGAGGCATGATCCAGGATGGAATCAGGAGAGGAAACAAGCACCATAGAAGCCTTGGAAACTCACTCCATCCACAGGCTGCTGGGACTCCTTGGAGCAGAGAATTTCATAAAATCTGCTTTCTATTTTAGGATATTTGGATGACAGAATAAATGATGGATTGAGTTAGGAAAAGTGGAGGCAGAGAACTAATTGTACTTATCTTGTCACTGTCCAGGAAAAAGAAGTGGACTGAGCAAAGGACACAGCCACCACTAGTAGAGTGACCCATCCTCCCCCTCCCCCAAAAAAACCATTGCTGTGGCCCCAGGCCATAACAATGTGCCTTCATGGCTTCACTTGTAATATTAAAGAGGAAGTAGCTACCACCCATCTGGGATGAGAGATTGCTCTTGTTTAGCTTCCTGTGTTATTTACAATAGTCATTAGGAGGCTGTCTTCCTACTATACAGCAAGTAGAGATGTTTAATGGCTCTGGAGGCAAAACAGAGTTTATGAGCCCCCTCTGACTGCATGCATTCAGGACTAAGCCCAAACACAATATTCCTTACCATGCCTGAAAACTGCTGAACGCTGTCTAAAACGATGCCATCACTACAAACATCCGCAGCACTGCTGAATGCAACCTCTGTTGTTCTCTGGACCATTGTTCTGAGCAACACATCCTTATACTGCCTTCTGTCTTCCCTTCTGTACAGAATTGCAATGTCTTTGGGCAGATAACCCTCGTGGAACAGGCTGTGACATTTTTCTGCAACATAGTTGGCTATTTGTTCTAGTGTCAGGTTAGCCTTGATTTCACACACACCAGGCAGAGCCTGGGCACACATTGCTTCCTCATAGGGAGCCTCCTGGAACATTGCCAGAATGTCTGGAGATATGTTGGGGGGTGGACTTTCTTGGATCCTCTTCATTTCTTCTTTCATTACGTTTGCAATTTCCACAGCACAGTGGATCTCGTTGGTGATCACTTTTCGAGGAAACTGAGCAGAAAGGGCAGGAAGGCCACTAACATCTGCATGATGGGTTTGGAAAGGATCCAGAAAAAGCCAGAGGATCCCATGGTGAAGGTTTTCACTTGCAGCCCCCTTCACTTTTGGGTGGGTGATGCTCTTAGCCTTCATGTACCAGTCATCATATCTCCTACAGAAATCCTCAGTCTCATCCATCACGATGTGTTTAATTTTTGGGAACTCTTCTCTCATGAAGGTCCTCTGGGTCACAATTTGGCAGGTGACTTGTTGGCTGTAACCATGAAAGAATAAACAGGGTTTCAGGCATAAAAACAAAAATAGCGGAAGCTTTCCTTACTCTTTGTGTTGGAAACAGAGGCTGATTCCCCTTTGCAGACGGATTCATTAATGGAGGCAGTGCAGTAAAACCACCCCACTTCCAAGGTACCCACAGATAGAATATGAGTTTGGAGATTGTTTGGTTAAATCTCCATGTGAAATTTTACTGTGAAGTAGTTAGACAGTTGGGTGGTTTGTGTCTATAATCCCATCACTTAGGAGGCTGGGGATCCTGAGTCCAGGGCCAGCCTGGACGACATAATGACTAGAGGCCAACCTAGCCTACACAGCAATAATTGGTCTCAAAAAATAGTAACTTAGGAAAGCTGGCTGCTTCTACTGGTCCAGCTGTGATGCTTGGCAGTAGAAGACAAGATCAATACAGTTAAAGAAAATCCTAAAAGTAACTCATGCCTGTTCCTACTCCTTTAACTTGTCCTTTTACTAGGATTAGAGAACAGTCTCCAACAAGCATATCGTAATCTATACATGAAAAGAGATATGTGCTATTTCAAATTTCATCTAAAGCAAGGCATGTTTCTTTACTTGTCTTACAAAAATCAGAAACTCATTTGGGTTTTGGTAAGAAAAACACCACTTTCTGAGTTCCTTCAAGAAGACTTAAACAAAGAAACCCCCCACATGTCTTCCTCTTTCTGGTCCATTTCCCTTTGTGGTACATTGTAGCATGCATATAAACTACACAAACATACTTCACAGATCTGGTTGCTTCTTGTCTCCTCTAAGGATTCAATAGGTTGACCTCACAGACTTTTTGTACACAGTTCCTGGGGCTTACTCTCTGCCTTGACTTGTAACTACACTCATTCTCTTCTAGCTTGGTCTGCGTGGCTCTTGAAGGAAAGCACCAATTTTTAGCTGACCCCATACCTTCCTCACATTAGGGCCTTGATAGGTATTTGGCAATTGGGGTTTTAACTGGGACATTCTAAAATTTTTCCTACAGAGCTCCATAATGTTCCTGGCCCCTAGCAGTTTCCTCCATAATCTAACATCTGTAGACATTCCAGCATCACCGTTTTTTCATAGGTCCACACTCTGGTTGGACTCCAGTTACATCTCGCTCCTCACTGCCTTTGACCTTGCTGTGCCCTATGCCTGGGAGGCCCCCCCCATCTCATTCACTTCTCCTACTGTTTATCCTTTGCTTTTTTTTTTTTTTTTTTGTATTGCTTTTATATAGGGTCGCATTGTGTAGGCCAAGCTGGTCTTCCCAGTGCTGGAATTCCAGGTATGCATTGTCACACCTGACTTCCTAACAATTTAGTACAGTCAAGAGTCTCCTTCCCTGAAGTATATTTGCCAACCAACCTTCAGCCTATGAGGCCGACCTTATAATACTAATGCATTGTTTATTCTGTCAAGTCTGTCAATTTGTTTACTACACTGAAAGCTAGTGGTTTCAATCAGAATTAAATTTACATGTTTTCTAAAATTACTGGTGCAGAATAACTCAAATATGTGAATATGTTTTATAAACAAAGTTAAAGTGTATTTAAATTCCTGTTAGATATAGTGACTAATTGTAATACCCAAAACATTAATTATCCAGCAAAAAGTTATTTAAAGTAAGGCAGGTTCATTTCTTTCTTTCTTGTTTTTTTTTTTTTTTTTTTTCAGGGTTTCTCTGTGTAGCTTTGGAACTTATCCTGGCACTCACTCTGGAAATGAGGCTGATCTCGAACTCACAGAGATCTGCCTTCCTCTGCCTCTCGAGTGCTGGGATTAAAGCCTTGCGCCACCAACACCCAGCTAGGCAGGTTCATTTCTACTTTTCTTAAATCTAAGGACACGGATTTTGGGGAAATGTTTCTGTTATAAATAGAGGCACAGTTGGGCATGGCAGTGTATGTATCTCTATACTCTTAATGCTCAGGAAGCTGATGCAGGAGGATTGAGTTTAAGGAGAAAGACTATCTCAAAAAACAAACAACTGACAAGCATCCTTCGCCTGTTTGGGGTTGAATATAAGTTACCCATTCTAGAGCTCAACCACATTTGGAAATTTGTGTTAACTCAGGCTTTTGCACTTGCAAGTGAAAGAGCATTGTTAAATCTTCAACTCAAATAAATTACTTTTGTGACTGTGCTGAAAGCCTCCTCCCATTCCCGCTCCCCACCCGAAGTTTAGATGGTAAAATTCTCACATCACAAAATCCCTGAGGGAGTCATTTCCACAGACATAGAGGATCTCTTTTGGTTTGCAGTGGAATACATCCTTGATTTTCTCCGTGATCTTTATGGCTAGAGCTGTCTTCCTGGTTCCTGGAAAACAGTGGATGAACAATTCCCGGGTTTCCTGAAGGCTCTGGGAGAGTGAGTTGCATTGCTCTTCTACACGAAGCTTGAAAAACTCACAGCCCAGCTGGTCACTCAGCACTGACCTGGAGCACACTGAGACTCCCACAAGGGCTTGCAGCACACCTTCCACTTCCGTTTTGCTAGACAGTGTGTAGGATCGGGGGTAGCACACAAGGGACTGTTCAGGTCTGGGCCCTCTTCTGGTCAGGTATATCTGCCTTGGAATGACACACACTTTCCCTGAGTAGCCGCCAAGAGTTTGTAGCTGCTGCTTTAACTGAAGGGCGGTGTTGTGTGTATAGTTAGAGCCTCCATTCCAACTTTGGTCTGGTAAGATCGTATAGAGTATCAGAGGGCTGTTGACTGCTACCAGGAGAGCATCACACAGGACCTTCTGCTCTTTCGTTAAACCAATATCACCAGCCCAGCTTCTAGAAACTATCACAATCCCATGAGAACAAGGATGTATCTGTGCCTTCAGTAAGCCCTCCAGTCCGTTGTGATCTGAGAACAGCTTTTTACAGAGGGATTCTGGCTGAAATTGCAGGCTTGCCTGTGTCACTGAAAATTGAAGGAATAGAAGTTAGCAAAACTTAAAGAAAGAAAGAAAGAAAGAAAGAAAGAAAGAAAGAAAGAAAGAAAGAAAGCACAGAGCTGCTCTTGCAACCTGATAGAAAAGGACTACTTTAGCCTCGGAACCATGGTTTTCCTGTTGCAAAGAGAACATCCCGAGGCTGAGATGAGAGGCTCCCCACCTGGCATCCCACGCCCAGCAACTCTAGCAGGGGAGAAGCTGTCAGGAATTTTCCCGGTCCCGGACACACACACACACACACACACACACACACACACACACACACACACACACACACAGCTGCTGGAAAGGCATCCCTTCCTGCTAAGGGCTTTCTGTGGAGCTGGTGCTTTGGGGGAAAGTAAGAGTCCTCTTTAGGCTGCACAGTGGGGGTGCTCGGGAAACAGAGGCAGGCTGGTCTCTGAGTTCAAGGCCAGCCTGGTCTACAGTCAGTTTCATGACAAAGTTACACAGAGAAACGCTGTGTTGGAAAAAAAAGAAAAAGCAGGGGTTGGGGGGTGTCATCTTTTAGGAAAGTAATTTTTTTGTTGTTGGTTTGCTTTTTGAGACAGGGTTTCTCTGTGTAGCACTGGCTGTCCTGAACTCACTCTATAGACCAGGTTGGCCTCGAACTCAGAGATATTCCTGCCTCTGTCTCCCTACTACTGGGATTAAAGGTGTGTACTACCACAGCCAGGCAGAATAGTAACTCTTAACAGAGTTCTGAAGACATTTTATTTTACTATTACATGTGTGTGAGTGTGTGTGTGTGTGAGATGTGTTCAGTATATGTGGAGGTCAGAAGACAACTTCCAGGTTCTCCCACCATTGGGGCCCAGAGATTAAACTCAGGTTCTCAAACCTGGTGGCAGCTGTCTTTTACCCATCAAGCCATCTCACCAGCTGAGACAATGTCTGGGGACTTTTTGATTATCACAACTGGAGGGAGGCTACTGGCATCTAATGAAGCTAGGGATACAACTAAACCTCATATAAGGGACAGAGCACTCCCTCTGTGGTATGACTTAAATGTCAGTAGTGCTAAAGCTGAAGAAATTTTCCTTCAGAAGGCATTTGTGTAGCCGTCTGACCCCCCTCTATATTAAAAATGACATAGTTCTCTTATGATAGAGACCCAAGGAACTCCAGCACTTTCCATTTTGAAGACTAAAAGACACAGGTGGTTGGAATTCAATGCATATAGAAGTTTGATGGAGATTGAGAACTAGGATTTAAGACTCCCCCCTCCTGTGTGTGTGTGTGTGTGTGTGTGTGTGTGTGTGTGTGTGTGTGTAATTGTAGGACCATTATGTCTGCTAATATCTTACATTTGACACTCCCTAAGAAAAAAGATTTGTATTGCTTTCTATTAATTCCCCCCAACTTAATTCTTTTTTCATTGCTGGGTATCACACTCAGGACCTTGTTAGGCAAATTCATTTTACCACTGAGCTATGCTTTATTGTATAAAAACAATCTCCTCAGACGTGATGAAGAGGGAATATACAAACCTGGACTGGGCTGCATAGTGAGATGCTGTCTCAAAAGTCAAACAAAACCAAAACTGAGATGGGTGTACCTGGAAACAAACGGCGCTGCAGAGTTCCCTTATATCCCAGGACTTTTGTGAGATATGCTGGCCTTCTTGGTGCAGGCAAAGCTGGTGAAATCGGATGAGCACTGTAATCAGTGGTGGGCAAGCTGGAAGGATCTAAACAAATATATAGAAAGAGGCTTCGGATAAAACGAAAAATCATACATGGCAGAACTCTGTGACTGTTCTTTCTACAGGAAACAGGAGAGACGTCCTGCACTGCCTCACACAGCTGTGCATGGCAGGAAAGGAGGCTGGGAACTGCTCTGTGGGTCTCCAGTAGGTCACCTCACTGGGTAATTCATTTCAAACAAGTATCATTTCTCCTGTCTCTCAAGAGGTGATGGTCCCTGAGTTACCTTCCACCTCTAAAATCCTGGTGCCAGTTCACCTGTAAGAAGAAAAGGGAGCTACTAGATGTCAGCAAAGAGCATGTTGAAGCACAGTTTTTATTTAAAGCTCTAGGAGAGTGAGAGAAGGCACAATAATGCAAGCAAGCCTTAAACCTTGTCGGCCACCTACAGGAGGGATGGAGTAAAGGAGAAAGCCCTGTTGGCTGTAAGCCAACATACGGCAGCACAGGCTGTAACTGATGGTTACAGTTGCTTTTAGTTTCCATCTAAGGTAAGATGGAATTGGAAGGGAAAGGATTGGGGGTGGGGTGGGGTTAGGGGGTGGAGCATGCCATTAGTCCTAGCACCTGGGAGGTAGAGCAGGCAGATCTCTGTAAATTCAAGGACAGGCTCTAAAGCTAAACAGAGAAACCCTGCCTCGAAAACAAACAAAACAACAACAAAAATAAAAGGGGAGGGGGAATCTCCCTGGGGAAATAGATCAAACAAATTTAGGAAAAGACAAAGGATGATGCCAAGATGTTTGTAATGAATGATATCTGTATCCAGTGTGATCTAAGGTCTTTCATCAAATTGGAGCATCTGATCCTGCAAGTAAGGAATGAGTTTATTTGTAAGTCTTTTATGGGTTGAATAGGAAGCATCAAGGCTGACTGCCAAATAAGATGTAAGGGCTGTACAACCACCAGTGGTCCTCCCTCCGGTGGTCCCCGGAGTATCTGCTCTTGCCTCATTCCCCTCATGTTGTGGTGCCTCGGATAGTTTAAGATATATGCTTCTAGATTTACTGAACTATTTACTGAAATGGTTCAAATTTCTCTCTCTCCCTTTCTGTCTCTCTCTTTCTCACACACACACACACAGAGACAGAGAGAGAGAGAGAGAGAGAGAGAGAGAGAGAGAGAGAGAGAGAGAGAAGGAGGGAGAGAGAATTTTACTCCCAAAACGTAGTGCAGTGTCATTCTTTGTTTCTCTGTGTAGCTTTGGGCACTATCCTTGCACTCGCTCTGGAGACCAGGCTGGCCTCGAACTCACAAAGATCCACCTGCCTCTGCCTCCCAAGTGCTGGGATTAAAGGCATGCGCCACCAACGCCCGGCCTGCAGTGTCATTCTTAAATGGGGTTCTCTGAAGATTGTTTTTCCAGTGAAACTATTCCATGTACACAAAGAAAATCAGCCATTTTTTGTCACCAGGGTTTTACAATGCAGAAAAGAAACTCATAGGCAGGTGGTGGTGGCACACGCCTTTAATCCCAGCCCTCGGGAGGCAGAGGCAGGCAGATCTCTGTGAGTTCGAGGCCAGCCTGGTCTAGAGTGAGTGCCAGGATAGGCTCCAAAGCTACACAGAAACCCTGTCTTGAAAAAAAAAAAAAAAAGGAACTCACTACTTCATGGCTGATGATATATGATAACTTGACCCCAAAAGACTGAAATCCAAATTTCTTTCTTTTTTTTTAATTTCAAAGAGATTCAGAGTCTTCATAACTAAGCCGTTAGAAAAAGAACATTATTGTGGAAGTGCATTTGTAAACAAAAGCACATTTCTGGTTTTTAAAACTAAACTACATGACAGAACACCCTCAAAAGGTGAAGGAGAGGGTTCTTGCGCTTAGCCTCTGCACTGCCTTTCATCTTTTTTTTACCTGGCTGAATATCCAGCATCATGTCCACCCATTGTTGAGCCACCAGCCTTTTGACATTGCTGTCCTTCATGATCCAGGAATCCGGGTCATCTGCAAACACGAGACAACAGAAGGGCTCTACTTGAACCACGCAGACATAACCATATAGGGCCTCTTTTTGGTAAACCTTCATAATTTTGGTTGTGAAATCCACCTTGGGCTTTTCACGACAGAAGTGATACGTTGGCAACTTTTCTATGCAGTTTCTTATTTCTGTTTTTAGTGATTCCGGGTTCACTTTTTCTTTCTTACATCCAAAAACTTCTTTGCTCTCATCATCAACCCCAATAATTATGTATCCCCCCTGAGTGTTGGCAAATGCAGAAATATAATGAGCCAGCGTCTCTTTAATCCGAGGGACAATCTTCTTGGTGGTGAACCTTTTAAACTCCACATGTGTTGACTCTGTGAAGTTCAGCTTTTCCTTATAATTGAGTTTATCTTTTTTAAAAAATTCCGAAGCACACACCTTAATATCTTCTTCTTCCTGGATGGATCTTCTGAGGAGGCATTCCTGAGAGTGCACCCTGGGGACACCTCTTTGGGCTCTTGACTCTTTCTCTTTGAGAAGCTCCAGGGCACTCCTGGCACTCAGGTTGATGGCAGAGGTCACATCTCTCTGGTATAAGTTGGAGCGTAAGCTGCAAATCTTCAGCGGAAGGCTGGAGGCATCCGGGCTCCATGACTTCACAAAAATCAGGAGGTCATGGTTCTGTTGCATACAGTCAAGATACTTTTGTGAACCTGATGGAAGAAGCTTCTGAAAGGAAGTTTCCAAATCCTGCCCCAGCCCGTGGCATTGGTAACTATAGTTTTCATCAACGATCTCTGCTTTGACCACGCCTCCTCCAGAATTCAGCAGTGCACAGACAGCCTGGATGATACTTGAGTTCTCATGTCTTTTCAAGCAACCATTGGTCATCTTCTTCCTGTTTTTTTCTCCCAAAGTCACTTTGCCCAAATGTATGGTGATCTCAGCATAGGGCATTTTTTTTTCACACTCCCAATAATAGCAGAGGGGTGTTCCTACATATAACCAGGACATAAATATTTCTGTATTAGTGAGAAGTTCAGAGATGACAATATTTTCTCTAAGGCTATACATTATTGGAGATACATTTTAACATTGAACATAGTCTTTTAAAAGATCCTTTAGTGGGACTAGGAACTGAATGTCTAGCTTTTCCCATTGTTTTTGAACAATGTTGCCAAGTAGACTTTCCAACAAGAGTAGCCAAAATTAAAAGTGAATACTTAATAGTTTTCCATAATGAAATAAATTAAGTTGCTGAAAACTTCAGCCTATTTCTGCTTAAATTTGGGATGCACCAAATATAAGTCCAAATATAAGGGGAATGGGCTAGTGAAGGAGCTAAGTGAGTTAAAGAATGTGCAGAAATGCCGGGCAGTGGTTGATCTCTGTGAGTTTGAAGCCAGCCTGGTCTATAGAGCAAGTTCCAGGACCGGCTCCAAAAGCTATACAGAGAAATCTTGTCTCAAAAAAACAAAACAAAACAAACAAACAAAGAATGTACATCAATAGAAGCTGAAGTCGGGGCTCTAGTCATAATTCAAAAGGGAAGAAAAGCAGCAGTGAAAAACACAGGTAGTGGAGTTTGTGTATGGTAGGTCTTGCTATGAAAATAAACATCAGTCTGGGCATGGCAGCACTCAGGTGGCTGACACAGGAGGAGCAAGCATTTGAGGCTACGTATGGACACACTACTGTAATCCCAACACAACTGTAATCCTATTGGGAGATGGAGGCAAGAGGGTCAGCTCCAAAGTCATTCCTTGCTATAGTAAGTTAAATACCAGCCTTGACTACATGAGACCCTGTCTCAGACAAGCAAACAAACAAAAAGTAGGGGCTGGAGAGATGACTCAGATGTTAAGAGCACTGACTGTTCTTCCAGAGGTCCTGAGTTCAATTCCCAGCAACTACAGAGTGACTCACAGCCATCTGTAATGAAATCTTGTGCCCTCTCTGGCATGCAGGCATATGTGCACACAGAACACTGTATACATAATCATAAAATAAATCTTTAAAACAACAACAAAAAAAAAACCCAGAAAAAGTACACAACACATAAAATTTGGTATTTCATATGCTATTTTATACGTTTTAAAGACCAAATGCTGAAATTGCTTTAGCTATTCACACATCTTCTAAAGTCACAGACAGTGTGAATTTGTCACAGACAGTGTGATGTGAGGCAGGAATTTGCCTTCCTTTCTAGTTTAATTTTGTACTATGGAGCCTCTAAGATTTGGAAAAGTGCCAAAGCCTTTGAGGCCTGGTTGCTAAACTGTGATCAACAACCTTTTGTTTTAAGACTAGAGAATAGCCATCTCAAGAAATCAGAGCTCCAAAGAAAGCATTCCAGAAAGTTAACTGTAAAGTAGAACATTTACTTTTCAAGTGAAGCAAGTGGTCTTTCTCTGGGCCAGAGTGTCCATATGCTGTCTGCACACAGGACCGGCAGAGGGTGTTCACAGTCCAGAGCAATTCCATTCCAATTTCTGAAGCTCTGTTAGAAATGGCTTCGTTGTTTTCAGGTTGCCTTCCTGATAACTTTCATTGGTGGGGTCTATATGGCAAACCTAAGTGGCTTTGGACTATCACCGTGTGTGGTCTCATAGCTCCCCATCTCATTGACGTTATTTGGATGCTCATAACTACACGAGATGACGGAGTGTTCTGAGGGTCTAGATCCAACTGAGCATCCTCCCCACCAGCTTGAGAATTTCTCCCTCATCGTCCTTACCAAATGTCTCCTTGACTATTATCTATACCCAACCCTTCCTACCCTCAGACCTGAACTATGTCCAACATAATGATGAGATTTAGAAAAGCAATTCTTTACCTGGTGCTCTTGTTTCCTCCTGCTGCTTCAGCTCCTCATCTGGCTCTGGGTGGAATGTTTTGCCTGCTGTTGAGGGCCCTGCTGCCCTGTGATATCTGCCTGGGAGGAACAGGAACTCTGCCAGAATCCCTCAGCCTTCATAACATTGACCCACTGAGGAAGGCTGATAAGGACTCAAGAAGAGCCTATGTCATGGCAGATTAGCAAGCTAAGGTCTGACCTCAGGGAGTGAATCAGGTCCATACAGTGGGGAAACTTGGGGTTTTTCAAGTGAGCAGCCAGAGTTCAGTTTGCATCTTCTAAAAAGGAATAAGCATGGCTTCCACACATAACAAAGCACCTCTTTCCTGGTTGAATCTGTTTGCAAAACTGCATTCATTTTAATTTTTTGAAAAAGGGTCTCACTATGCAGCCCTGGCTGGCCTAGACCTCTATATAGACCAGACTGGCCTCAAACTCACAAAGATCTCCTTGCCTCTGTTTCATGAGTGCTGGAATTAAAGATGTGTGTCACCAGGTCTGGCCAAACTCATTTTAAATTAGGCTACCCTGTACATACATACTCATTGTGAGCAATGTTAACTTATTTCAGCATCTTCTAAATTTCCTGTTGTGTTTTATTTACTTCTATCATTTTCGTATTTTTAAAAAATTATTTATTGGACTGGAGAGATGGCTCAGAGGTTAAGAGCACTGGCTGCCCTTTCGGGGGTCCTGAGTTCAATTCCCAGCAACCACATGGTGGCTTATTACCAGTTATAATGAGATTTGGTGCCCTCTTCTGTCATGAAAGTGTACATGCAGACAGAACACTATATATAATAAATACGTATTTAAAAATTCTTAGTAATCAGCCCGGTGTTGGTGGTGCACACCTTTAATCCCAGCACACGGGAGGCAGAGGCAGGGGGGTCTCTGAGGTTAAAGGCAGTCTGGTCTCCAGAGCGAGTGCCAGGATAGGCTCCAAAGCGACACAGAGAAACCCTGTCTCAAAATACCAAAAAAAAAAAAAAAAAAAAAATTCTTACTAATCATTAAAAAATTACTTATTTTTAAAGTTCTCATATAAGTATATATTATATGTTGAAATATTCCTTCTATGCCCCCAGTGCCCCTTTCTTGCCCTACAAAGCTTATTTCTGCTTTGATGTCATATACATACCTAACTTTATTTTATTTTAAGTTTATTTATTTGTTATGTATACAGTTATCTGCATGCATGTATCCCTGCAGGCCAGAAGAGGGCAACAGATCTCATTTCAGATGGTTGTGAGCCACCATGTGGTTGCTGGGAATTGAACTCAGGACCTCTGGAAGAGCAGCCAGTGCTTTTAACCTCTGAGCCATCCCTCCAGCCCCATACCTGACTTTATATACTTATGTAGAACCTAGGAACCAGGAATGAGAGAAAACATACATTTGCCTGAGACTGTCTTAACTTGCTTAATACTAGCATCTCCAATTGTATCCATTTTCCTGCAAATGATAAAATGTTTTTATGGACCAAAAAATTCCGCTGTATCTATGTATCACATTTTAAAATTTTATTTTATTTTGAAATTAAAATATAATTACAGCATTATCCCTCTTCCCTCCCACCCTCTAACCTTTGCCATGTTACCTTCCCTTGGTCCCTCTCTCAAATTCCTGATCTTTCTTTGTTGTCTTACACATACACCCTCCTAAATATACAAATACAACCCGCTCGGTCCATATGATGTTATTCATGTAAGTTGATTGCAGCTGTGGCCACGTGGTATTGGATAACTAATTTGTGAGCTATTCCCTGGGACAGACTATTTCTCATGCTCTCAGTATTTCTTAGTTGCCAGTAGTTCCTTGCCTAAGGTTGAAGTCCCATGAGATTTTCTTCTTCCATATTAGCATGTCTATCCAAATTGTCCTTGTTGGGTCAGCATGATGGTGAGACTTCACAGGTGAAGCGTCTCTTATATTCCTGGGACATGAAATCTCACATCAAACTTCCTAGTCCACTGAGTCTTACAATCTTTCTGTTTTCTTCCGCTATGACTCCTGGGCCTTAGGTGCAGGGATTGTGTTTAGATGTGTCAGTTGTGGCTGGACACCATACAGTCACTTGTTCTCTGCAGTTTGATTGGTTGTGGTTTTCTGTGATGATCTCCATCTGTTGCAAGGAGACATTTCTTTGATGGGTGAGACCTATACCTACATGTGAGTATAAGAATAGGTATTTATGCTGCAGTTAAGGATTGTGCAGGCTTAGTAAAGTGGCACTTGTAGGTTCTCCACAATCAGTGACTTCACGAGCCCCAGGTACTTGGCTAGGTTTCTAGTACTGAAGGGAACCAGCTCCCCATTTCGGCAGCCATAACAGCCGAACACGTGCTTGTCTGACCTTGTCTTAGTCACTAGGAGGGTAGATGCCTGCCTCATGGCAAGGAACCAATCAGAAGTTAGCTGGTGGCGCTATGCTTTACAGCTCTGGGTGTGCTTTACGGACAAGTGCACAGCAATGACTTGCAGAGCATAGCAATCACCCTATGGGCCATAAAAACCAGTTGGCCAATCAACACAGGGCAAACCCTCCAAGCCTGGAGCCACACCAATCCTGAGCCTGTGCGTACCCCTAGACACTCCCTTTATGCTGCCCTATAAGACTTCTATGCAGACGCTTCGAGCTGTCTTTCCTAGCCACCTGCCATGGTGGGTGGATGAAAGACCCGAGCTAACATGGGGTTAGCTCGTTAAACTATAATAAAGCCTTGTGCAGTTTGCATCAAGCTTTCAGCTCTGCATTGTGATTGGGGTGACCGAGGTCCTGAGCTGAGATCCTGGAGGCCTGAGCTTCCGGGGAACTTACAGTACCAGGGATGGTTTCTTCTTTGGTTTCAGCCTGGTGAAACTGATGTCAAACCTCTTGGTGTAAAAAAAGGAAGAGAGGCTGGAGAGATGGCTCAGCAGTTAAAAGTACTGACTGCTCTTCCATAGGACCAGGGTTTAATTCCTAGCACCCACATGGTGGCTCATAACTGTCTATAACTCTGGTTCCAGGGGATCCAATAACCTCACACAGACACACATGCAGGCAAAAACACCAATGCACATAAGATAAAAATAAATCATTAACATATTTTTAAAA